CTACCAACAGACAGAGTTCCCGCACAGGGACCAGAAGAGGAAGATGAGACATTTCTTCTTCTGTTCTTATACTCCCACAAAAGGAAACACATTTCATGGAATGGCCTACTCACAGCAAAACCCAGCAGGTGATTCCATCCTTCCTTCTACTCCAAAATCTGCTTTTCAAAAAAAAAATCTCATCCTTCCAAGTAATCAAGTTGCAGACACTCCTTGCCCCAGGTGGCAGGTTCTCCCCTTCTCAATACACCAGGACCACTTTTAAACTTCCTTACCCGCACCCATGGTGGTCTTGGCATCTATCACCTGCCTGGACCCTGAGCTGGTCTCCACCTTTGCTCCTATTCCCTGAGCCCCAATCTATCTATACCACCGCAGCTGGAGTATCCTGCCCAACCCTGTTAGATTGGGCCGCTCTTCCCAGGTCCCAGGGACCAGATGTGATCAGCCCCACTCTCCTCTGGCTTCTTTAACCCCAGCCTCTCCAGGCTCTGTGATGCTCCTGAACCACACAGGCTTCTCTGTGCTAAGGATACCCTCTTCCTTTCCCTTCGGCAAACCAATGTCACCACTCCCTCATAAACCAAACGTGCTTGACACATAGCTAATACTTTAAGGAATACCTTTTTTCTTTTTTGAGACAGGGTTTTACTGTGTCATCCTGGGTGCCCTGGAACTTGCTCTGTAGCCCGGGCTGGACTCAAACTCAGAGATCCACCTACCTCTGCCTCCCAAGAGCTGAGATTAAAGGCATGGGCCATTACCACCCAGCTAATGAGTAACTTTTTAATGATGAAATGAGGGTCCTTTGAGAGTAAAACTCTGTGATGTACTGAGGAACTAAGCTGTCTTAGGAAATGAACGACATTGGGGAAGGAATTTGCGGGCCCCTAAGCCCTCCCATCTCTGTATAGTCACTCTGACATCTGAAAAACACATTTATTTAAAATGCCTTTACTATTTGTCATCTGAAATAATGTACAGCATGAACATTCTGAGCACAAATACATAAGGGCCAGGCATCTTTAAATCTCTTTATTATTTATAACTATCAACAAATACTCATATATTAGCAAGTCCACCATAAAAGCAGATCATATGCAACTTGAAAACAGAAATAATCGAAATTTTTTTCTTATTTGTGACAATGAGCAATAAACACAAATAAAGTAAAAATAATTACCATATACAATACAAAATATAAAACCAAATACAAATATAGTGAGCAGTTAATATACATGAGAAACATTTCTACATAACTTTAAATGATTCTTGGCATTAATTCTGGCTTATTTCCGTAAGTTTGTTTTGGTGTGGGGGTTGATTCTAAGCCTTTGGACACAGGCAAATATAAAACCACTTATCGTTTAGCCTGGAAAGACAATGCAATGCAGAACTGAAATGTAAGGAAAGGATTTTTGGAAGGAACCCAGACTGCAAACAAAGCATCAGAACTTTTAAAAGGTAGATTTTTTCCAATTGGTTATGCAATGACTTTGGCTCTCAGAAATTGAAGTCTTCTAAAGATATTTTTATTTTATGTTTATGAGTGTTTTGTCTGCCTGTATGTATGTGTATCATGTGTGTGCCTGGTGCCCGAGAGGCTGGAAGAAGACATCAGATTCCCTTGGAACCTGAGTTACAGATGGTTGTGGGTAGCGATATGGTGCTGGGAAATAAACATCATCCTTGACAAGAAGAGGAGCATGTGCTCTCAACTACAGAGTTACTGCCAGACCCTAGAAATGGACATCTTTAGTATGAACTGAGATCTTTATCGATTTCTCTGGTGAATTTGAGCACAGAAATTTGTTGCGTGTGTGTGTGTTTCTTTAAAGTAAATATTGCAAGTCAAAAATGTGCTGTATACAAGGAAACAGACTCACTGAGTTTTAGCAACAGCAAGCCTTGTATGCATGTGCACACTTGTCTAAAATGAAATACTAGTGCTCAGTTGGTAATGGTGCTTGTCTCACATGTACAAAGCCCTGGATTCCATCTCCTGCAGGGCATAACCTGAGCATGCTATAATCTAGTACTCTGGAAGCAGAGATGGGAAGCCCAGTGCTTCTAAGTCATTCTAGCCTACATAATGAGTAAAGGCTACATGATGCCCCGTCTCAACAGAAAAAAGGAAAGAAATATTATGCTGTCAGTTCTAAATAGTACAGATTAATAAAGTAGAGGAAGAGGGACGATGGAGATTCTATAAAGAGCTGGGAACACTACACACTGCTCCAGCAGTAGACTCCTCTTTTAACTAGTTTGCTAAGTTGAGTACTATGATGTCTTCACTGCCTAAGGCATAATTTTGGAGCAGCATCAGGACGAACCAGAGAAGGGTGGTCCAGGAGTGACCACATGTGGATGACTGTGCTGACCACACATGCATATTTCAGTATGTCACTCTCAAAAACAAATTATTTTCTGCACAAGTCCTGGTCTTTACTGTGGTCTACCAGCTGTCCACAACATGGCTTCATGAGAAAGGAGCATTTAAAATGGGCCTTGAGTTAAATGTATGTTGTCCCCATGAAGATGATAAGTTAGGAACTAGAGATAGTTCTGGAAGGTAGAAGCGCTCTCAGTAAAGGTATAGAACACATTAATTACTGGGCACAACTCTGGGAGAGGGAGTCACATCCACGTGTGGGGGAGGTTAGCGCTCCCTTTTGTTTAGCTGCTGTGGTAAACTGGGAGTAACAGCAACCGTATTTAAACAATCACAGTTCAACTTACATTTGATTCCCTGCTGGTTCTTTTTATATGATGAAGGATTATTGTAGCAGACTATTCAATGAAGCGTTTTGACTTTTAAAAACATATGCCAGTTATATGTCATCAAACCCATCTGAAGTCTGGAAAGTGAGGAAGGTTCTCATTCAGTGAGAAGTATTACTTGTGACTCTCTTCCTTCCTCTAAATGCCAGAGTTACTGGTGGAGGGCAAGCAGGTGGTTCTGGGCACGTGGCTCATCAAATATATAACCCTAAGCCTGAGCCACAGGCCCACATGTGTCTGCTAATGACCAGACTCAGCCCTCAGGGGAAGTCCACCCTTCTCTGAGGTGGACATAGAGCATGGCTCATTGCCTGGCATCTAGCAGGGCTAATGTACTGAAGGACACAGAAATCTCTATGACAATAAAGGCTCTAATTCTGTAGTAAAACTGAACTCATGTCTCTGGTGGCTTCCTCATAGTCACATATAAATACAAAAGTAAAACTTCGTGGCAATATAGCACATTATGAACCCCCTAAATATAAGCAGTAAAACAATTTGCCCAAGATTGTGAAGAAACATCGTGATTACAAAGCAGAGTCTTCTTCCTAGCATAACTGTAAGTCACATGGCTATTTAGGAGGCAAACCAAGGGGGTACTCTCAAAATGTACAGTATAAATGCACAATTCTTTCTTAGAAGTCCTCTATACCTTGCATTAGGGTTATATTCTAGCGTGTTCATAAGTGCAGTTGTGTGACTCCCTGAATTTGCTTTAAAATGTTACAGTAAAACAGACACTAGAACAGAATCTACCATATCTGTGAGGCCCAAACAGACACTAGAACAGAATCTACCATATCTGTGAGGCCCTCAGCCTCTGACAGTGAAAACAGAGTCTCGTCAGACAAATTTCAGTAATAAAAATAGTAAAGGCAAAATAAAGGTATTTTTAACTATCAAAAGTACCAGATTGGATAAGATGGCAACTGGTTGGCAGAGGCAGGCAGATCTCTGTGACTTTGAGGCCAGCCTAGTCTACATAGCAAGTTCCAGGACAGCCAGGGCTACATACACAGTGAAACTGTCTTTAAAAAAACAGTGTACCTTATAAGAAAATTAGGTAACTTATAACAATGTACATGGCTTACAGTACTGAAAGTTTGTAAACAACTCAGGTATCAATCAATAGGAAGCTAGTCAAACATGGTATATCCACATCCAAGAAAATACTATGCAAAAATAAGAAATAAATAAAGCAAGAAGTCTCAAGGCAGTACACCCAGTCTTCTTGCCCATAGGCAATGTCTGCAAGAACTTCATGAGTGCTCTGAGTGATCGTCCCTAAAAGAGCAGTTGAAGGTGGAGTTTCACTCTTTAGAAAAGTATTATTTTACGTGTATGGGTGTTTGCCTGCATATATGACTGTGTACCATGTGCAAGCCTGATATCCACAGAGTCCAGAAGATGGCATTATATCTCCTGGAACTGGAGTTATATATTGTTGCGAACCTAGAACAGATTTGTCTTTTCTCTAAAAATGCAGTCATTTCCAAGGCACATACATTATGTCCCTCAGCCACACGAGAGCATTAAAATGAAGATGTTTGAAACCACATAAGATACCACATCATAACATATATAGGAATAGACAGGTACCTTTTAGTTAACTCAAATCAGGTTGAAGATTCTATTAGCTATAGAAAGAAATAGCATTTGGAAAAGAAAAAATGTTTTCAAGTTGGTTCTTAAAGAATCTGAATGTATGCCAATACTTTTATGTGATGAATATTTGTGGATGTTTTAGTAATGTTTGCTCTTAGAACAGAACAGATGGCAACAAGGAATAAAATGGTATTTCCAGATGTACAATTTTATGGATTTAGTGCCAGGGACCCAGAATGACAATTAAATCTCAAGTTGAAGCATGGTTGGCGCTATAGCACTTCCGGAGTAGATTTCAGCTTAATGATTAGCTCCGGGACTTCGCTTGAGGTCTGTTATTTGGGTCATGGCCAAGCAGAAGGATATGTTAGTGGGGTCATAGGCTTGCATAGTCAGTCAGCTGCAATGCTGGCTCTGGATTCCTTGTCTGTGAGACCCCAGAAGCAAAGAGAAGGAGCCCGAGGAGTCCCTTCTGAAAGCCATTCTTTGAGTCTACACAATGGAAAACAGTTGTCTAGTCACAGGGTGTGCTGTTCCTATTCCCTTGCTAACTGAAGTGTAGCTATCTCTATACCAGCAATTTAAGCTAAGTGAGTACACACCACCGCAGTTACCTGGTGGGCAGCCTCTGCTCCACACTGTACTCAGCCTCGGGAATGCTGAGGGAATTCTTAGGTTTTGTTGTATTGGATACCTGTATCAAATTGAAGAACAGCAGTTTGTTACAATTAACCCTGTTACTAACAGTTTTGATTCTTAAGCAAATTGGTCTGTCTTTGTAAAATTCTTTGACAATTTCATGCATGTATATAGTGAATTTTGCTCATTTTCATTCCTAGTACCTCCCCAGCCCTTCTCCCTCTTCTACCAAAGTCCTTTATTTTGCTGACCAACTGAGTTTAATTTTGGTTACTTTCATAAGCACGGTGGGAAGTTATTTACTGGAGCATGGTCAACATGTCAGTGACTACACCACCAAAGAAAATGGTACCTTCCCCCTAGCAACCCTTAACAGCTCATACTCTCTCAGAGTGGGTGGGAACTCACGAGCCCCTTCCCTCATCAAATGAAATGGTGGTGGGCCCAATCTTCTTCAGGTGTTTTGCAGGGAACCATAGCTACAGTGAGTTCATGGGTGCAAGTGACATGTTTTGTCCAGAGAGACTGTTTCACACCCCCTCCCCATCCCCCAGCTCTGACATCCTGTCTCCTTCCCTTCCTACTGTGTTCTATGAACAGTGGACATCCTTTTTGTTGTTGTTATTTGTTTCTGGTTTTTGAGACAAGATTTTTTTTTTTTAAATCTGTGTAACAGCCCTGGCTGTCCTGGAACTAGCTCTGTAGACCAGGCTGACTTCAAACTCACAGAGATCTGCCTGCCTCTGCCTCCCAAGTGCTGGGATTCAGGGTGTATGTGCACCATCACTGCATGGCTAGATATCCTTTTTAAAGTGGAACAGAGTTGGCTTTCCTAATTATCACATTTCTACATCAACTTGGGCAAGTATTTACAATCTTATTTAAGGTTCTAAACATCTAGCCTATTATGAATCTATTATGAATTTTTCCAGACTGGAAGAAAACTCAGATCTTTACCCGATTCTTAGAAGAACCAGGTTGCCTCTGACGCGCAGCATGGGAACGATGCTTTGCAGAAGATTTTGAAGACTCAAGACATAGTTTCTGTCTGTTCTTGTGGGATGCTTTGCTCACTATCAGGCCATGTTCAGCTCCATCAGCTTCTCTAGTTAGATTTGCCAACTGTTGCTGCTGTACTCCAGAGTCTTCAGTTTCCAAGTCCGATTCAAAAATGTGTGGCTGGGTTTTGAGTTTTAGTGACTCGTGGCTTTTCCCTAAAATTTGCGTTATAAAGCTGCTTGTTAAATCGTCTTTTCCGCTGGTGTGGCTGTCAACAGCATTTTTTACTGAGCCACTTGACAGTTGTGTCAGGGCAGTAGTAGGCAGGGGTCGGCCCTCAGGGAGGTGCGCCTTCAGCTCCGAATCAGAAGAGAGATGTTCCCTAGGGCGCTCGCAGAAAGCGGTGCCTCTCCCTAGCAGAGGTCTGAAGCTCTTGGGATTTAAGTTCCTAGCCTGTACCTGGATGTTACTATCTGGTCTTTTTCTAGTAGCTGAACCTAACCCTGCTTTGCCTCCCTGGGTTACTCTAGCTTTCTGTGTCAGTAGGCTAGGTTCCTTAAGAGCACTCTGTTTTCTCTCCACATTGCCAAGCGCTGAGACGTCTTTGCTTGCTTGCTCAGATTTCCTTTTGAAGACTGGTATGAATGCCGGGGCTCTCTTACTTTGTGAACAAAGTCGACTGCGTTGAACTTGTGTGTTTCCTCTGCTGAGCTCTGACTTCCCCACAAGTAGCTGTGGTGCCTGGAGAGGCCAGGAGGGCTCTCTGTCCGGAGACCCTGGCCAGCAGCACCGGGATGAAAACAAGCCTGAACGCTGCTGACTGGCAAAGGGCTCCACCTCGTGGTTGGCTGCTGTTGGAGGCCCCGTGGGGTTCAGCAAAGTGGCTTGAGTTAGAGAAGCTCTGAAGTGTTTTTTAGTCGTCAGATTGGGGGGTCTGACTTTGTTTTCCTGGAAGGATAGAGAGTAGGGGAATTTATGTAATAATTGTAAGTGAAAAGAGAAGGAAAACACAAAGTATCAGGGTAAGAAAACAAAGTAACACTAAAGTGCATAGAACCACTGAGAAAGAGAAAATAAATGAGCCTTCTGGTGCAATGTGTAGATTTCTCATGGCACACTGTAACCCTCTGTGAGTCAACTGTAAAAGTCACAGGCAGCTGCCATCCAGATGTGCTCAAGCAGGCTTCTGGCTCCTCCCAGATGTGCTCAAGCAGGCTTCTGGCTCCCCGTGCTCCCTCTTCTTTCCATCGCTCTCTGCTGTGGCCTCTCCTTTCCTTAAAGCCCCATTTCCTATGAGTCCTCTCCCAGTCAGCCTATGGGGGATGGCCTCTTATTTCTATCTTCAGAGCTCTGTTACTAGTTAGTATTTATTCGTCATTTAAAAACAGCACCCGATCCTGTGGCCTCGCGTTAGTGTCCTTTTTATAGCTCCCTAAATAGATCTGGCATCTTGGAGTGTAAGAACTATGGCTCATTTATTCTTATCTCTTCCAAGGTTACTGAGAAACACTTACCTAAAAGTTCTGATGGAGGGGTGGGTGCATCTGCACGGCACCTTTAAGTGAGATTCTGACTTTGGGGCAGGGCTGCCTGTGTTAAGCCTGCTTGTGTTTCTGTCTACCAGTTTCTGGGGCCTAGCGGTGACTCAGCAAGCATTTGTCAAACAGACTAGTTACATGCAGTGAAGCAATCCAAGCATATCCCCTCCTTTAAAAACTCTGTGTATGAAAGCAAATTTTATCATGCTCACTTCACTTCTGAGTACCTAGACTAAAAGCAGAACAATACCGAGATTAGTGTGGCCCCTGCACAAGGGTGACAGGCAGATCTGTGAAGTGCTCCATATTCAGAATAAAGAAAGAAACAAGCAAAACAGAAATGCGTGTTCCCATTGTACTGTTCTAGGCGCAAACTAATCACTGAACTGGGTGACACAGCTCTCACACACCTTTTCTTCATCCCACCCAGATTCAGAACTTTGCATTCTGAAAATTATAGCTCCCACTTACTCTGGGATTCTGGTGACTTCTGCTCCATTTTCTTTAGCTATACATTTGCCCATTCTAGACACTTCATATGAGAGCATAAACATTTCCTTTTAGTGTTGGCCATATTTCACCTAGCACTCTATTTTTCCAAGATTCATATATATTGTTGCATGTATCAGAATTTCTTTTCTTGTGATTGACTATTCCATTCTATGTATATGTGACAGTTTACTTATCTGTCCAGTTGTTGATGGAAAGTGACTCATGTTTTGAAGTAAATGTATACCAGGCTTTAGCTTCTATAGAACAATTGCACTAGCTAGTATTTTGTCAACTTGCCACAAACTAAGAGTCAACTTGGAATAAGGGGTCTCAACTGGGGAACTGCCTCTATCAGGTTGGCCTATGAGCATGCCTGTAGAGGTATTTTCTTAATTAATCATTGATATCTAAGGGTCCAGCCCACCGTGGGCGGTAACTACCTCTAGAAAGGTGTTCCAGAGTTAAATAAGAAAGCTGGCTTAGCAAGTCAAGGAGAGCAAGCCAGTAAGTATCACTTCTCCATAGCACCTGCCTCTGCTCCTCCTTGGATTCCTGCTGAGTTTTCCAAAGACTGACTGTTACCTGGTGGGCAGATGCCCTCCCCACCCCAAGCTGCTTCTGGCCACTGTGTTTATCATCAGAAGAAAGTAACAGTGAAAATGTGGTAGTGACATGAAATGTAGAGCATAGATTTTTATCTTCTTACTCTCACAGATTAAAAACATATCACAGCTTGAGACAAAAACACTAAGAGATATAGGAATAATATGCAAAGTAGAACAATTGACTTTCCTTCTTCTGCCAAGTTTCAGTCTTTGAATGAGGCTAGGGAGAGACTAGTGCAGAGTTCAGGGAGATTAGAATTTTAAGTAGGCACAAAAAATGGATAAGATTGATCCAGTCATCCACTAGGCATAATAATGCACATAAAAATGAAGTAGCTTAAAATTAATAAAAAAAACATGGCTTCAATACATAACTTTGGGGACACACTTCTTATGCCACTGGAGAATGAAAACGTGCATACAGATGTTCTTCAGAATCTTCTCTTCACAAGGGAACTAACACAAAACTAAAGTCTAATAAGCATAGCAGGACATCTTTGTCAAGACATCACATGAGCAAAGACTACCACCACCATCAGATCCCTGGGTCAAGAGGAAGGCCTCTACGACTCATAATGGGTGCTGGACTGGCACCAAACCTCTATCCTACTCTCCCACGGCTCCTTCTGAAATAAGTACCTGTAAAGCTCAAAGTGCCATTTTCTCGTTTGCATTTGGAGCGTGGACTTACAGCCTGTCAATCAGATGCACACACCAATTGTTGGAAGGGTAAGGGGAAACAGTGCCTGTGCCAGCTTTGCTGGAAGTCAACTACAAACACTTCCCTTGACTTCAGTCATCGTTAGGCAGCAGGTGCAGTGTCCACTCACTGGATTCCTGGGTGCAGTGCAGACAGACATTAGGGTGTCTCCTCTTCTCTACAGAGAGTTCTAGATAAACAACAGATGCCCCTCCCACCCCCCCAAACCACCGTCCTTGCCTTATAAATGCTAGGTAAGCACACAGGTGCTGTCATGACAAGGGGTCTTAAATTTGGCTGAAATTCCACCAAATTCCAAGCGCTACATTATCAAACTGCTGGAGTCACTCTGGAGAGCAAATGTTTTCCCACTGCCTCGAAAAAAAAGGAAAAAAAAAAAAAAACAAAAAAAACAAAAAACGTATCTAAGAACGTAGTTGAAATTAATTATACACAAGCAAAAAACACTTGCTTTTTAGATCCTCGGGTGTCACACGTGTATTTTTTGTTTGTTTGTTTTTCTTTCTTCACAATGCACTCATTACTTGTGATACACAAAGAAGCACTCTAGATTTGGTGAGGTACTTGCGTTCTGAGAGGATGTGTGTCTGGCCTGAGACGTGTTATATTCACACCTGCTCTTCCTCACCTGTCTGAGGTGACATCTGGTGAGACCGTTTTGCTTCCTTGCTTGTCAACAGTCACCCATTGTTATTCACTCATTGTTTTAATTTTTAAAATACCACACACAGCCAAAAGGGAGCAAACTTTTAGGTTCCTATTTATAATGTATAGGAAAAGCAAAATGGGCCTATGTAAACAGCAGATGAGAACATAAATAATTCACAGAACTTAAATAATCTTAAATTGTTAGCAAACTGAAGCCTTGTGAAACTATGAGACAATTAAGAAGCATATGCATGCATATATATATATATATATATATATATATATATATATAATCTAGGTGTTGGGAAGTGTAGTTTGGTATATGCTATAGAATAAAACACACTTAGCAGACAGAATGACCATGGCCTGAAATGGTCCCATTTATATTTTAACTTGACAAAACCGTTAAAAACAAATCTTTGAGATAAACAAGACCCAGGGCATGCCCTGGGTCTGGAGACACTTAGGAGGAATGTATTCTGTTTGGTATATAATGACGTCGGGCTGCATGACCATGCTTTTAAGAGTTGCACGTGGTAGAAGTACACACACTTTACAGAAGTGAGTATCTGAAGTGATGTATCTGGTATTTGTTTCAAAACATCCATTTTACCCCTTATTTAAAATTCATTTTCTCTTAATTTTGGAATTTGATCATTAAAAGCAAATGTAGTCTGGCTTAGCAGTACTGCTAAATTAATGCTGTAAGTCAGCTCCATGTGAAAGGCTTGGATATTGCCCCCCATGAAGAGCAGTGGTCTCCTGACAGGGTTGGCTTCCTTCAGTGACCCCTGTGTATCCTAAGGGCTGACTCTGACAAACATGTGCCCTGGACTCCACCCGAGAACGCTCCCACTGCCCAATCTGGGACAAGTGCTGTCCTTACCACATGGTCACCTCGCCACAATTTCAGCTGAGGAAACGAAGGCGCAAGAGATCAAAGGTGTGCTCCAAATCACTCAGAGGCAAGGGATTTGGATCCAGACAGCCAGTTTTCAGAGCCTGAGCTATCAGCCAGGAATCTAAGGTTCATTTTAATTTATTTTCTTGATTACTGTGCTAAGAATCTGACCAGACTTCAATTTTAAGTCAGAAATGTATTTACTTTGTGTTGGTGGAGACGCTTGAGCTCTATGCTGTGGGTTCTGCTGTGGCATTGAGAAAGTAATTCTTAATCCCGAGAATCCCTCCTGAAAATTAAATGAGGAAGAACAGGCAAAAATAGAATAAACTTCGTTGTCAACAGCACTATGCAGACAAGAATTTCAGTTAAGTGCTACTGTACATTATGAAGAAAATCTTTGCAAACTGTCTGGATTTACTACTCATAGAACAGGTGTGAGCTGCAATAAGCAGTCAATACAAGTGTATGATGTAAGTGTCTATTCAGCAACAATTCCTTAGATTGGATTTGGCAAGCGATCCAACTTTTAAAAATGCGATGCCAGCCAGATAGGATAGTGCATGCCTTTAATCCCAGGGCTTGCTAGGAATAGCAGGCAGATCTCTGTGAGTTAAAGGCCAGCCTAATCTACAGAGTGAGTTCTAGGACAGCCAGAGGAACACAGTAAGATTTTTGTCTCAAAAATTAAAAGAAAAAAATACACACCTTTGTTAATTTTAAGACTATAATATAGGAATCAAAAAGGACATTTATCCACTCATTCCTTTTCAGGAAAACATGTTGCAGAATGGAGGGAGGTAAGGTACTCTATACAGCTGATGAAGAACTCAGGCCTAACATGCTATAGGAATACCCATGAAAATGGCAGACCAGCCCTTCAAAACAGATATGCAAATATCAGTACACATAAATAACCAAGATATGCACATTAAAAGCACGTGGTAATAAGCGTATCTGCCAGAACTGCTAAAGTAAAGTCAACAATGCCACATATGAACAAGGGGAAGGGGTAACTGCCACAGACACACAGACACCGTGGGAGATAGCCTGCAATATGTCCTATACTCGGAAACACACATACATTCTACATTTATGAGATGCGTGTACATGGCCTAGAGGATGTCTACTAGAATGTTCAGTACCATATTACTGCTAGTAGCCCTCAGACAGTCCAGCTGTCAATCAACAATATTCGGGAAAAATAAACAGCTGTGGCGTAATGACAACACTGCATGGCAGTGGAAGTGAACGGACTTAGCTTGTGGAGCAACACGGATGAGTGTCACAACACTATTCTAAAGCAAAGCCACAGGCAAACACAAACAATGGTTTCTCTTGCATAGAATTCAAAACTGAGTTTTGACTGATGCAGGCTTACTAAAGACAAAGGTCAGTCAGAAAGTCACGGCAGTGGTTACCTCTCTGAACGCATGAGAGCAGGAAGCTGCACTGGGTTACATGAACAATTATTCAACAAGACGCACGGGGTGGGGGAACAAAGCCAGAGGTAACTCTCCTTCTGCCGCTTGTCTGTCTGCAGGGAGCTGGGGAGCTGGGTTTATATGCTGGCTTCCTGCTGAAGTTAATGCAGAGGCAAACGCTGCTGATGGCTTCCCTCATGCTGCAGGGTTCAGAGAAGCCCCCTCCTGACCACCTGTTGGGCAGCAGCTACCAACTTCTACTGAACAGGTCCGCCCCCTGCCCCCCTCCTTTCAATCTGTCAAGGTGGACACTTCACAAAATTCCCTCTTTAATTGCCAGTAGCCCAGCTTGTGCATATCTAGATATGGGTGAAACATATCAGAAGCAACAATTGTGTATCATAGGAAATACAACATAAACAAACAGTTAAGTAACAATAACAAGTAGCATTTGTGAGACACCATACTGAGAACAGTTTGTGATCTACTGAAGAATTCAGGGAACTTGGATGAGATGAAAGTAAGTCTTACCTGTCTTTGTGGTCTGGTTAGCTCCTTTGTGTAGTAGCACGGTTTATTCGTCATCTTTATGGGGAATCCACATATGTGCGGCAGTTTAGATTTTAAATCGGATAGGAAACATTTCAAAACACCTTCCAAATCCACCCTTGGGAAGAACTGAATGGGCTGACTTCTGATGCAGCGGAGAGGGTACCTGAGCATGATTAAACGTTAAGGGGCAACACAGGGTTTCTGTCTGCAGGGCAGAGCAATTTTTATTTTTGAGCTGGCGGCAGTGTCCACAAGACACCGACAAACCGATTCTATCTATATGTTATATTCGACAGTTGTCAAGGCTAAAAAGCATTCTTTCATTCCTTCTGAGTTAATTTTTATTAACAAATTGTGGTGTGTGTGTGTGTGTGTGTGTGTGTGTGTGTGTGTGTGTTATGACACAATCAAGGTGACTCTAGAATTGTAAGGAGAGTAGATCACTACACCCCAGGAGAGATTTACAAGGAATGTGCCATCTGTCACCTGTACACAGGTACAAGGACGAAGTGAGCAGTAAACTGCTCCCTTCAAAAGCAACGAGAAGCTTGGCACAGAGAAGAGACACTTTACCAATTATGTTCAAACTTCAAAAGCAGTCCTTCAAGGAAAGCAGTCCCTTTTCCTACCGAGAAATCTTCTAAACACGTGGGATAGTGTTGGTATCTAATGAAGGGGATTCGAGGGCAGTGTCGATTAATTATCTGTGTTAGGAAAGGGCACAGAACATGGGCTCTTCTGTTTGTAAACCCTAGCCTGTTTGGTGAAAGCCGTGCTAATTAAGACTTAAGAGCTCCATCTAGGTACCTGTGTTCTGCTTTTGTGCATATCTTTAAAGTAATATTAAGAAAGCTAATTTTTTTTCTGAATCAATGCATTGTTTAGTGCAAGTCAAATCTAAGAAATAAATCTTCCAAGAAGGAATATTTCAGTAACATTTAATTAACCTTTCCAACAATGTCCAAACAATACGGGGGGGGGGGTGGGATCTTGGCTAAAGATTGGTTCTTACATTGTCCTATTCTGAATTTTCTTTTCTTGTCTAAATTTTGCAATAGTCTTTAAAAAAAAAAAGTACTTATAGCCTGGGATGGTGGCAACTCCAGCACTGAGGAAGCTGAGGCAGGGGGATGGCCAGTTCAAGGAAAGCTCAGGTTAGTTAGGACCTGATGGTTCTTTTTATTAAGAGATGAGAGGTTGGGAACGTAGCTTAGCTGGTAGAACGAAGGAGGCCTGACTTGCTGTAAGTGCTGGATTCAATCCTATCCTCAGCATAAACTGGATGTGGTGGTGTATGCTTGTAAGAAAAGTACACACAGGAGTTCAGAAATTCCAGAATAGCCTGGGATACACGGTGAATTACCAGCCAGCCTGAGGTATATGCTACCAGTCTCAAAAACAAAACAAAATACCCAAAATAAACAACCACAAGAACTCTTATTAGTATCGTTTTCTAAGCAAAATTAGAACAGCTGTGCAGGAAAAGTGTTTCCATTAAGTAAGGACAGCATGGGGCATGAGCAAAGCTGGCTCCTAAGGCAGACAGGAAGGCTCTGTTATTAGTGTACAAAGGATACGTGAAGACCTTTTCTTTGATCATTTTGAAGTAGATGCTGCAGTATATTTTCATATCTCCGCAATCTTCTGGAAGTTTGTAGCCGTACTATAAATTGTGCACACAATGTAAATAATTTTGATTCTTATGTTACATGATAAGAAAAGAGATCAAATAACATTTCCTGTGATGCACACGTGCTCCCTACCAGGTCATCCCAGTGCCTCTGGAAATCTTCGAAGGAACGAAAGGGACAGTCGGGTGGCACAGTATGAAGAACATTTATGATCTGTCCCATCTTCATACTGTAAAAAATGACATTTGACACAGCATGATGTCAATACTTAAATACAGTTAAATGCTGTCTGAGAAGTTAACTGTGCTTTATAACGTATTCCAAGAGACTCAGCAAGTATACTACTGTCCACATATAAACAACAAACACCCTAGTGCCAAATTCAATTGCATTAAGACTTTTGTCTTGACATGTAAATTTGAGATATATTTAATATGCTTTGAAAAATAAATAGGTTATGGAATGCCTTAATCGACTTAATATGCACACCATTTCACGTAAAAGTACTTAAAATCTATGTGTAGTGATATTCAAGATCAGCTTGTTGATATTCACTGTAGTGTGTTTTACAATGGATATTTTTTTTAACTTATTCTTCCTGTCTGGGATTCTTTATTGTTGGCCAACATTTCTCTACTGTAGTCTAAAGCTCCATCCTAAACCTGGTATTTGCTATTTTACTGTTTTATGAGTTCAACTTGTTAGATGCTACTATAAGATCACACAGAATTTGTCTGGTTTATTTTGTTCAATATAACATGTTCCATATTGCCCATATTACCTTCCTTGTTAACGCTGAATTTTGTTCCGCTGTATACATACCACATCTTTATTCATTCTGCCTGATAGAAACTTAGGTTGTATCCACATTTCAGCTATTGTGAATAGTTCTGCAATGAATGTGAGTGCAGAAATATCTCTGACATACTGACTTTATTTCTTTTGGATATATAGGATGAATGATCATATGGCAATCGCATTTTTACCCTTTTGAGAAATTTCCATATTGTTTTCTATAATATTGTGCTAATTTACATTTTCCTGAGCAGTATGCTGACATTCCTTTTACAAGTGATACTTACATTTTTTTAAATTTAAGGATTTTATACATGACTACGCTGTATTTCCATCCTTTCCACCCTGCCTTTTTCCCCTCCCTCAACTTCCCTATCTCCCTAACCACCCCTTTGAATTCATGATCTCTTCTGTTTGCTAGATCTGTATGTATAAACATATATCACCTACTGAGTCTAGTTATTTCGCACTTCTTTGCATTTGTTTAGAGCTGACCCTTTAGGACCCTGGTTTTGTTCCTAAAACAAAAACAAAACAACACCAAGAAATGGTTGGCTGTCCCTTAGTAGGCATTGCCTACAGCTTTTCATCTAGGGGTGGGACCTTACGAATTGGTGTGTTAATAGGTGTGGTCTTTGCAGGTTTTGTACAGGCAACCACATTGTGGCGATTTCATAGGAGCAACATCCCCATCCAGAAGAAACTACGAGACAGCAGGCATCCCAGACCTCTGTTTCTCACAAACTTTCCATCCAAGCCTCCAAGAAGTTTCCTGAGCCATAGGTGTAGGTGTTGTGTTACAGATTTCCCTTTGGGGGCTGGGGATGCCACTTGTGATCTGCCTGTTGATGGGTTGTGGATCTAATAGTCTGCTGTACAAAGACGCTTCTTTTTATGAGACGTGAGTATGCAGCAGTCAGCTGGAAGCAGTGTCACCTCAACAACAGGGTCCTGCCACCCATAGATGCTTGAGTAACCACACAGCAGCAGGTGGCAGCACCTTCAAGGGAGGAGGTGTGGTTCTAATTAGACACTGCTTGGTTGCCTTCAGAATACAAGTGCCACTATTGCACTGTCTTGCAAGTCCTCATTATTATTGTGGCTCTCAGCCTTTAGGGTTGGCTAAGACTGTTGATATCTCTTCTCCTTGGGAATCTGACGTAGCACCTTCTAGTGCATTGTAACTCGCTTCAGGGAGGTCCCAGGTAAGTTTCAGCTTGGTTCCTACAGGTCCTGTGACCAAAGTTTGTAGTGTCTTCAGCGATAGGGTTTTACCGTCACGTTTTGTTAGGCAACCAGAACAATGCACTCCTTGACTAACAACATAAGGGAAGTAGCCCATGCCTGACACTCAGGTTTTTGTTAAATAGTCTAAGTCTCCTGGGGGGAGGGTTATTCTGCTCTGTGGGGTAACTGCTTCAAAACATGTTCTCTCTATTCATTTATATCATACTTATGTTACATTTCCTCATGCTACCCAGTTAAATTCCCCATCCTATTTCTCCCCTTCACAGCACCCATGTCCTGTCATTCCTGTCTCTAACCTTACTTTTCCTCCCTCCTCCAATGGTCTCTTTCTACTTCACAGGCTTCTGAGGGTGCTCCAAGTTACACACTCAAACTTACAGATTCAGATTTAGAACCCGCAAATAAGAGAGCATATGCTGTTGGTCTTTCTCAGTCTGGGTTATCTCACTCAATATATTTTTCAGTTCCATTCACTCATCCACTTGAAAAGTTATGGTTTCATCTTTCTTTATAGCTGAATAGAATTCCATTGTGGATATGTGCCACATTTTTATTGTCCATTAATCACTTGATGGACTTCTAGGGTGTTCCCATTTTCTAGCTCTTGTGAATAGAGAGGTACTGAAAATAGCTGAGCAAGTCTCTGTAGTAGGATATCAAATCCTTTGGGTATATACCAAGGAGTGGTATAGCTGGATCATATGGTACCACTCTCTCTCTCTCTCTCTCTCTCTCTCTCTCTCTCTCTCTCTCTCTCTCTCTCTCTCTGTGTGTGTGTGTGTGTGTGTTCTCTACACTAATGCACTAATTTCGATAGTGGCTGTACCAATCCATAATCCATATCCTTGCTAGCATTTACTATTGGTTGTTTACTCTTGGCCATTCTGGCTGGGGCAAGATGAAACCTTAAAGTAGTTTAATTGCATTTCCCCATTTGGTAATGATGTTCTTAGCTATTTTTTTTTTTTTTTGAGAACTTTCTGTTAATATCTTGTACTAGTTACTTTTTCATTGCTGTGATAAAACATCATGACCAAAGAATCTTATGGAAGAAAGTGTTTCTTTTGTTATTGTTGTGGTGATGGTGGTTTGTTTTGTTTTTTGTTTCTTTGTACTTTCTTTCTTTCTTTCTTTTTTTTTTTTTTTTTTTTTTTTTTTTTTTTTTGGCTTATAGTTCACAGGAATGAGTCCTTCATTGTGAGGAGTTATAGTTATGGCAGCAAGTGATAGATGCAGCAGCAGGAGCAGGGAACTGAGAGAACATATTTTCAATCACAAACACAAAGCAGAGACAGAATTGGGAGTGCAGAGAGGCTTAGACTCTCAAAGTCCACCCCTAGTAACACCCTTTCTTTAGTAACATAGTACTGACTCTCCAAACAGCATCACCAACTGGAGACCAAGTATGCAAATGCCAGAGCCTATGGGGGCCATTCTCATTCAAAGTGCCTCAGACTTACAGCTTCTTTTTATTGGATTACATTTATTTTTAAATCTTAAATTCTTTGCATATTCTAGGTATTAGTCATCTGTTGGATGTATAGCTGGCAAAGATTCGCTTGTGCTTTGTAGATTTCCTCTTCACTTACTATTTCCTTTACTTCATGAATAGGCAAAGAGAGTGCCAGAAAGACAAGACTACTGTTTTGTAAGGAACCCAAACCTGAGATAATACATCAGTGTGAACAGAACCTTCTGTCAACTAAATTTAGGAGGGAGCAAACATTCCATCCACATTGGGACAGACATATAAAAACTCAATTCAGTAGCAAGAAAACAACTTGGTTTTCAAATAAAAAAAGAAATAGACATTTCTTCTTCTTCCTCTTCCTCTTCTTCCTCCTCAGCCTCCTCCTTCTTCTTTAAGACAGGGTCTCACTGTGCAGCCCTGGGTGCCTATTCATCATGGAATGATGTAACAAAGAACTCTCACTGAAATGTAATGTGCTGGCACTTTGATCTCAGACTTTTTAGCCTCCAGACTCATATGAGAAATAGGTTTGTGTTGCATATAAATTACCTAGCACTCGACATTCTATTATAGAAGCACAAAATAGCCTAAGAGAAGAGTGATTTAGAAGTATATTCACCTACTTCATGGGTTATCCTCATTCTTTTGATTGTTTTCTTTGGTATATAGAAGCTTTTTAGTTTGATGAAGTCCTACTGATCCATTTCTACTTTTGTTGTACAATGTTAGGGGATATGTATGTATGTATGTATGTATGTATGTATGTATGTATGTATGTATGTTATCCCCAGATCAAAGCCATGAAGTTTTCATAGCATTAAATGATTACATTTTTAATAAAATGAGTAATATGGGTCTAACTTAATTCTTCCAAGTAAGGATATATAATTTCCAAGCATCATATTTGGAAAAGACCATTTTCTCCAACTTTGAGGCAGCCTTGTTGAAAATCATTTGACCGTGAATACATATTTATTTTTAGACATGCTGCTCTGTTCTGTTAGTCTATATGCCTGGTTATTGTTTTAATTACTACAGATTTGTAGGATAGTTTGAAATCAAATTGTGAGGGCCCCATGATTTCTTTAACTCCCTGGGGTCTTTTATTTCTATGTGAAATTAAAACATTTTTCCTGTTTTTTGAAGAATAATATAATTTGGTAGAGAGTAATAAAATCTATGGATTACTTCTGGTATTGTAGACATTTTAAAAGTTATAATTCTTCCAATCCATGACTGAGTTCTTTTTCCAATTAAATTCCTCTTAGAAGTATTTTATAATTTTAATTTTCACTTCTTTGGTTAGATTTATTTTACAATTTCTTTTGATAGACACTTTGAGTGAGATAGTTTTATTAATTTCTTCTTTATATCGTTCCTAGTTGAGGTATAGAAATTTTTCTGGGTTTTCTTTCTCTTGTCAGTGGTGGTTTGAGACACAATCTTCCTATGTAATCCAGTTGGTCTTAAAATCACTGTCCTACCTCAACCTCCTACATTCTGGAATTACAGGCACACACCAGATACTATGAATTTTATAAGTTGGTTCTGAAGCATGTAACTTTTTGAATTCACTTCATAATTTTAGGTTTTGATGGAATCCTTAAGGTTTTCTATTTGTAACATCAAATTGTTGGTCAACAGTACCAGTACGGTTTACCTTCTTTCTAATTACAATGCTTTTCATTTTCTTCTCTCTCTAGTGCTACTATTATATTGAATAGAAGTAAAAGTGAAATTATTGTCTCCTATCTTAATGAAAATCTTTCAACCTTCCACCATTAAAAATGACCTTGCTGTGGGCTTATTATGTTTTGTTTTCACTTGTATTAAATCTTAGTAACTGAAATGATTAGGAAAAACTGAGCTGAACTGCTACAAACAATGCATGAAACAATCACAAATACACACAAAATAGAAGTAAAAATGTTCCCATCTGCAAGCATGCTTGGTGCTTGTTAGACTACAAGGAAAGTTCGGTAAGAACTAAGTGAGTCCGAACCATGCCCTTTCCCTTCAATATTTACCATCTGTAAGTTCTTTCTTAATTTTCCTGAGTAAATTAAAATTTCTTCTCAGTGGGCTTTTTATTTTTGAATCAGAAATGAGTAACTTTTTGATGATAATAACAAAACCAGTTCACATTAAATTTTAATAAATAATTATTAGGTAAACAATAATAGATTTTGGCATTAGGATTGTTGTGGTATTGAGAAATCTGGTAATTTTACTATTAATTAAAAGCAGAACCATCAAAAATGTAAATGCATAATAAATTATTTTAGTGATTCAAAAGTGGAAATTTACAGCTTCTATTACTATGATAAGACCATCCTATTACTTTTCATTTTTGTTTTTTCTGTATATAAGTTATTTGCCTACATGAATGTATGTGTACCACATGTGTGTCTGGTGAGGAGGCCAGAAGATGACAGATCCTCTGAAGGTAGTTACAGTTACAAGATGCCATGTGAGCACAGAGAACTGAACTAGGTCCTCTGCAGGAGCAGCAAGTGTCCTTTATCACCAAGCCACCTCTCCTGCCCTCCCTCAGTATTTTATAGTGTCATAATTCTGTTTTTAAAGTTCAAAAGCAGTTTATGATTTTGCACAAAATATCACGGAAGCAAAGTTACAGACATTACTATATTCTGAATCCACGTGTGATGGTTCATCTTTATCATCAACTCAATTGGATGTAGAATTACCTAGGAGGTTGGTGAGAAACACTTCCAGGTGTGTCTGTGAGGAGAACTGTAGAAATGATTAGTTGGAGATGGGGGGGGGGGAGTTATCCTACATGTGAGTGGAACATTCTCATAGCCAGGGGACTCAGATATTACAAAAAGATAAAGCCTGTCGAGTACTGGCATTCTCCATTTTCTGCTTCTTAGTTTTGATGACAGGAACTTTGCTGTGCCACTGTGAGTTCCGCAACACGATGCTTTGAACCCTCTAAAGCTGGAAGTCCAGAAAAACTCTCCCTCCCTTAAGTTGTTTCTATCAGATATCGTGGTCACAGTGATGCAAAAGAGCCACTACACCATCTTTACATTGCAGCCTAAAATCTTACCTTGGCAAAATGTAGCACCAGTTGCTTAAAATGGAATGCCTCTCGATGACAGCATTCTGGTTGGCATGAAAATCCTCTATAATACGTGGAGAAATATCAAACTCCTTTAGCTTTTAATTGAAATAAGATTTCAAAGCATAAGTCCTCAAGGAATTTGCCACATAACAAGAAACATTACAACAATACACACTGGCAGTAGTTTAAGACCTAATCAGTGTTGCAACACATCCTGCCTCTGCACTGGGCAGTACACCAAATGGGCTATGCTTTCCCTTTTATCTCCCAAGCCCAAACTTCTTTTTTTTTTTTTTTATGCTTAATTCAATCAGTTTTATGATGTTAACTTAGAGAAGTCAAGTGTCTTCTAAAGGTGTGTATCTGTGTGTACATGTTTGGACATGTGGACATGTGTGAGTGGAGTGTGTATCTGTGTGTACATGTTTGGACATGGGGATATGTGTGGGCAGAGTGTGTATCTGTGTGTACATGTTTGGACATGGGGACATGTGTGAGCGGAGCCCAGAGGAAACCCGTGGGAGTCATTCCTTGGGAATGTATTCCCTTAGTTTTTTGAGACAGGGTCTCACTGCTCTGGATCAAGTGTGGATCAAGCGGAACAAACACTTTACCAGGTTAGGATGTCTTCCATGCCCAATATTAACCTTGTAAAAGAACAGTTTCTGTGACAGAGCTAGTGTCATGCTCTCCTTTGATAGCCCCTTTCCATTTCCTAGAACACTTTCTTTCCATTCCTCAGATATCCTACTTAGATAGGATTCCAACTTCTGTACAGACGGACACAGAGAGGCCTCAAGTGCAAATGAAACATTGGTGGGTAAGTGAACACTAAGGCTAGAGAGACTGTGTCACAAACCCTTATAAATAAATAGCAAAACAATTGTGAGGGACAGGGTTCTCACTTCATTCCCTGCCCACTTCTTTCAAGAACTTTGAGCTAACATGGCCAGCACTGCATTGTCTGTACAAGTCATACTACCCATATACATATTATCCATATGTATGCCTCATAGTTTGATACTTCGGCCCCTATTAGTTAAAACCTACACCTAAGTCTAGACCCATTTAATCTAACATCACTTTTCTGATTGCTATACCAATCCTTAAGATTAATAAAAGTTCCCCCTTTCCTGTAGTTGTTAACTACTGGGAAAGTAAGGGTCAGTGTTTGCTAAGAGTGGAGCCCCTTACAAATTGACCATATTTCAGCTAAAAACTACATATCCAGGAATATCTGGAAAGCATAACTTGGTCTTGAAGGGTATTTTAATAAGGACAGAAAGTTGGGTGAATAGAGAAGGTGGATCTGGGAAGACTTGAAGGAGTTTAGTATAATCAAAACATGTTATACAAGACTTAAAGCTCTCAAAGAACTAACTCTTTGAAAGGGAATAATGGAAACATGGGAGCAGAGGAATAAGGACAATGTCAATATGGGAAGAGATGATCAAATATGCTAGGGACATACATTGGTGCTGCAGTGCTGTGTGGCATACGAAAGATGCCAGGTTCTATCCTTTGCACCAGAAAAAGGATGAAAAATTAGTTAAACCAACAACACTCTGAATTGATAAGGACATAGACTATCCTGTGCAGAAGAAGAGGTAACTGTCTTTAAAATATAGCTACTTTTATTTTTATTGATGTGTTTATATGTAGGGGAGTTGATTGCCCAGGGAAGCCAGAAGAGGGTGTAGATGCCCTACAGCTGGAATTATAGGTAGTTATAAGCCACCTAACATGGGTTCTGAGAATAAAATTCAGTCCTCTGGAAGAGCAGTAAAGGCTCTTAGCTTCTGAGTCATGTCTTTAGTCTCAAGAGGTAAATATTATGATGTGATGTACTGTGCCTGAAATCTGTTACCTAAGCTACGCTATGGGAAAAAAAAAGGAAGTTAGGAAGAAGGAAGAAAAGAGTAAAGATGGCCAGAGCAGGGAGTCATGAAGGTTACCATATACTGGCATCAGGCTTGAGAGAAAACAAATTCTAAAACAGAATCCTAAAGGCAGGCATTAAAGTAAAATGTTCAGAATTTGTGTGTTGTGTGTTCTCATATATACCTACTTACATAGCCTAAGTATATATCAACACTATTCAGAGGCCCAACCAAATTGCTGCAGGGAAGTACACCACCAGTACTTGTCTTTATCAATGCAGACTATTCTGAACAGTAAGAAATTACTCAACTATTAACATAGATCTCAAGAGACTGCTAACTCCTGTATTTATTCACTTCAGAAATATTTTAAAGTATCCCTAATGCAGCTAAAGCCAAGCTGATGAGAAGGTACCTAGTATATATATATATATATATATATATATATATACATATATATGTATATATATATATATGTCTTAAAGATATGTAGGTAGTGTAGCTTTGATTTAGAAATAGAAATCTATGACGCAGTGAAGAAGCAGAAGGCAAAGCAAAAGAGGAAAGACTGGAAACAAGGCCTATGTGGAGATCTGTTAAAAGGTTGATGCAAGAGGTCTAGATCAGAACAAAGGAAATGAAGGTGAGGTCACCATGGAAACCAAGGCAGGAACAAACTAGAAGTGAGAAACAGAAAATACCAAAGTGCCAAGGGAGTCTCTATGGAAGTAACTCACTGGAAGTCTATGGAAGTCACTCCCCAGGTTTGGGCTGGGGAGAGTGATGCTCGCTCACTTTTAGATATCACCAAGCCTGGGTGTGTGGTGGTTTAAATGACAGTCCTTCAGAAGCGCATGTGTCCGGGGGCGTGGCTTTTCTGCAGTGCGTATGTCACTGAGGGCCCTTTGAGGGTCCCACATTGCTCTCTTTGCTTTTTGCCTGTGGTTCAATATGTGTCTCTAAGCTCTCTGCTCTAGCTGTCATGCCTGTCATCTGCTACTTCTTGAGGAATAGGTGTTGTCAACATGAGCATAGTCATGGTAAGGACTCCAGCTCCTCAGGCACTGGGAGTGGCAAACCTTTGCTGGGTGAGGCTCAAAGGCATGATAAAACTTTCATTTGGTCCAAGTATAAATGTTTATGAACAACTGACCTGAGTAGGTAGAAACCAACAACTATAACCTTCTCATCTGTGACGAGTGCAGCCTGAAACTGCTCCCTTTCAGAGAACTTGTTCAGCTGCATACCATAAACTGTCTGTCTCCTTGATCCAGGCGGATACAATCAGTTCTCTGAGTTTCCCGGACCCTGTTCCAGTTGGTACCCTGTCTTAGCTTTTCCGTACATGTGTCTGTGTGTTTGTCCTTTCTTCTTTCCCTCTGGTCAATCCTCGAGGCTGTGCACGGTGCTGCACTTTGCTCTGCCATCATGGGTTCTAACCTTCTGTAACCATTAGCCCAAACAAACTCTTCTGAAAGATGCCTTGGTCAAGGTGTGGTATCACAGCAGGAGGAAAGTAAGTGGTATAGAGTGTCATCTGTACATTTGTGAGAAAGGGTCTTAAAGGACACAATCACAACTACACAAGAACATGTAAAAGGTATGAATTAGTATGTATGCTGAAAATGTTTGAAACCTAGAAAACAGTCGTATCCAAGTGGCAAGACATAAAAACAAACAAACAGACAAAAAACATGGACTTTGGAGAAAGTAGTTTCAGAGAAAGCAAGGAAAGAGACGAGGCTTTAAGAACTAAAAGGTACAAAATAGTGTATATGTTTCAATGATATCAAAGACAAATTTCCTTTCCCTTTCATCTGGATTCTAAAGTAATACAGCTCTTATCAGACGCTATCACATAGCCATTGTTTTCATTCAGTATACAGCACAGACATTAGGTATTTGTGGTGTTTGAATAAGAATGGCTGCCAGGGCTCATCTGTTTGAATGCTCAGTCACCAGGGAATGGAACCCTTTAATGGGATTAGAAGGATTAGGAGGTGTGGCCCTGTTAGAGGAGGTGTGTCACTGTGGGTGGGCTTTGCGGTTTCCAAAGCCCAAGTCAGGCCCAGTCTCTGCTTGTGTTTCAGGATGTAGCTGATACACGCTACTTTCTCTAGCACCAAGCCTGCCTACTGCCATACTCCCTGTTACCATGTTTCCTACCAAGATGATAATGGACTAAGTCTCTAAAACTGTAAGCAAGCTCCCAGTAAATGCCTTCTTTTCATGGTGTCTCCTCACAGCAATGGAACAGTGACTAAGACAGTATCGAATTCTAACAAAGGGCACACAAATGTAACCAAGTAAACTAAGGCTAAGTAGAGAAAGAATGGTCAGGCAAACTGTTGAAAGAAAACCTCTGACTACCTTTGAGATCCATGACAGTTACTTACACTGTCTCAACTCACCTAGTTATAACAAAAACTATCACTCTGAACTTCCATTATGTATATCATATGCCATATGAAGCATCTGATGTACTTTATCCCATTAACTGCATCAAATCTCTATGGCTAGTTATCATTCGCTCCGTTTTACATAACAATCTGGGATTAAAGTGAATTAAGTAGAAAGTTCAAAGTGGCACTATTAATAAATGAAGATTTGAGAACTGTGTGTGATCCTAAGCCATCTCTGAATGTTTTAGGTGTGTACATATTAATGAATATTTTGTACATGCTCTCATCATTATGCTGACTTTTCTTCTGGCATCGATAAAATCTTCGGGAGGAAACACTTTGCACATGTGCATAATGATACCCAATAAATAGCTGTCTGTAAAATACAAATATGTTTCCAGTTGCTTATTTTCCTTATAATTAAAACTTCAGAGCAACAGTTTAGTATCCCATAGTACTTTTCTGGAACATATCCCTCAGGTAGTTATGGATTAAATTAAAATCTGAATGTATCAACTGGTGGCAGTTTATACACATAAGTTTCTATTGAGAAACTTACATGAGTGTTGTAGTTTGCATATAATTGGCCCCCATAATCTCATAGGAAGTAGTACTATTAGGGGGTGTGGCTTTGTTGGAGTAGGTGTGGCCTTGTCGAAGGAAGTGTGTCACTGTGGAGGTGGGTTTTGAAGTTTCCTATGCTCAGGACACAGCCCAATGTCCTAGTCCATTTCCTGTTTCCTGAAAGATACAGGACTCTCAGCTGCTTCTCCAGCACCACATTTACCTGCATGACCTCATGCTCCCTGTCATGATGATAATGTACTAAACTTCTGAAACTGTAAGAGAGACACCTCAATTAAATGTTCTCCTTATAAGAGTTGCCATAGTCATGGTGTGTTTTCACAGAAAATCCCAAGACAAGTTTTAGGAAAATAGTATAGTTTAACACAGTCTGCAATAGGAGACATTATTATTATTGAGAATACATGAATTTTTTTAAATATGAAAATAAGGGCTGAAATACCATTTCTTATAATAATGATAAGCTATCTTCAAAAGTTATCTAGATCAGATCAAAGTTGAAAGTTCAGGAAAACTACTGGAATTTCTACTGTAGAAAAATGGACTTTATAGATACTAAAGTTATCTAATTCAAATGAGAAGCTAGTCGTTCATGCCACTCAAGCTTTAATTACTAAAAATCATACTGTAGTGAATGACAGATGTCATGTAACTCTGTGAAAGAAAAGTTAGAAAGACACAGAGCCTTTCCTTTAAACCGTCTTAGTATGATGATACCCTTGTATGAACCACAGTATGAACAAAGAGAGGTGGGCCTTGGGAGTTGTGAAGTCCCAAGGTGGTAAAGATGAGTTATGAGTCAGAGAACAAGCATTGTGAGTTTAGAAGACAGTTTGCGCCAATACCCTGCCTTGGAGAAACCATTAACTTCGGCTATTGGGAAGTGGAGTGATGGTAGATGAAACTACACATAAGGGAACGTTTGAATCAATTTGCTGAGAACCTCATCCATCATAAGAAGCAGCGAGGGTCTCATTATATAGTCAGTGGAGAGCATAGCAAATTCCTAACAAGAGCATAAAGGTATGTGCCGGAGCAGCAGTATCTGTCACTCCACTAATCACCAGGCTGGTTGGGTGTCCCCTTCTTCCCTCCTAAAGCTTCCTGCTAGGTCGAGAAGAACAGTCTTTACTGGTAGGGGAGAACCTTTCTTCAGCCAAGGGTATGAGTACTTAACTTCAGTACTATGGACACTTGGGGTCAGATAATACTCTCCTGGTGCAGTGGTGGGTTTTGTTCTATGGGGGTCAGAGCATTCCTTGCTTCTGCCTGCTAGATGCTAGTAGCAAAAGAATTCCTTGCACTCTAGAAACTAAAACCAGCCTCTAGCCATTGCTCAATGCTTCGTAGAAAGCAAAAACATTCATTTTCTCCTTCATCCTTCTCTGTTACTGAGGGGCCAGTGGCACCCAATAAAGGAAACAACATGTACTGAGTGACTACAAACGTGTAAAGCTCTATGCCAGTACTATGGGGATTAGCAAAATAGAAGACAAAGATGGAAAGCATGTGGTATGAAAAAAAAAAAAAGACGCAAAAATGCTACTAGGATGTCAAGGACACAAGACGAGCATATGTACCATGAGATGAGACTGTATTTTTAATATGTGGAGGTGGAAAAGCTGAAGAAATTGGTGCTAAGGCGAGGTAAGGTAGTGACATTTTGGATGTGTCTAATGATATTTTTGACAGGAATAATATGATAAAAACTGGTGTTAAGTGAGAATGATATTGGGGGAATTTAGAGAACATAGACACGTCAAGCATTTAGCAGCATGCATTTTATTTGTTTTGTTTTGTTTAAAGCTGGGCATGGTGTCTATGCCTACAATCCTAGTACGCAGGAGGCTGAGGTAGGAGGGTAGCTACAAGTTCAAGGCCAGCCTGGCAGATACCAACTGCTAGCCACCCTGATCTATAAAATACAACTCTGTTTCAAAACACAAAAACTAAACAAATCATAACAACAACCAACCACTAAGCCCTTTTAAATGTTAGCACAAAATAGTGGGCTTTATTAAGACATCTGAGTGTCTGTTCACAGTCACTCCACTGGTTTCTCTTGTCCACCCTGTGCCCCTGCTAAGTTCCTCCTCTCTCCCTTTCCTCCCAAACAGCCCCCTTCTGTTTTCAGATATTCATGTATGTGTGTGTATATTCTACATTTGAGAGAAAACACTGCAAGTATTTTGGTAACAAAACCCCTCCTATCAGTTTCCATGTTAAAAATTAAAATCAAAGAGCATGTTACTAATAATAGCATGCATATATTAAGTATATAGTAAATATAGGAGCTTATAGAAATAAAATATTTTGTACCTCAGGTGGTGGCAATCTGATAGTATAGACTTCTATACTTAGACAGACTTGTGTTTCTGTTACATTGATGTCTAATACTGAAAAAGAATTAATCATGAACTTTATAGAATTGGTATGCTATCATATCAAATGAAGCATTTTAGTAACACATATTACATTATCCAATTTATACATAAAGAACAGGTTTTTTTTACACATATAATAAAGTTCAAATACTGAACCAGTAGGTTTTGTTGTCTACAAATTACACTTCTAAGACAAGATATGAAACAATAGGTTATGTATGGGAGGTAGATCCTACAACAAGATGACAATAAGAAAGATATACACTTACACTACACTCAATAACACGTTCTGCAAATCTGACGTCTATTACTAAATTCCAGTGAGGTCTCTGGGCCTCCTCCTAGAGGCCTTCCTTACTCTCTTATATATAAAGCTATGCTGACATGGCAGAGTCATGGGGACCTTAGAAGAAGATAGTATCTGAAGAAGCTTTGGAAGCTTCAGAGATGCTGACAAAACTATTTCTTGAGCAGAGGACCAGTTACAAGACTGTGTAAACTTTAGTGAGTATACAGTTAAAATGTCTTGAGTTTTACCTAAGTACATTACATTTAAACAAAAGTAAAAACAATCTTCTAAGAAATTTGCTCTTCCAAGTTGACTCTCTAGCCAAGGTCTCATGCTAGTGTAGTAAAGCTAAATTTGGATAATAAACCTGTTCATCCACAGCCACTGTCTAACTGAAACACATAACTAGTGGGAGGCAGGAAACACGGTTCAAAAGGACAGTCTACTGAGCCTCAGTATTTATGGGTTATAGATGAGGATTTGAAAACTATGTTCAAATGATGGGGGAACCTGCCATGTCCCATTATTAACACCTAATGGGGGGTTATGATCCCCATCTATTTACTACCTCAGCACTACTATTTAGGAACCTACCTACCTTCAACGCAATATGCAGAGCAATCAATTAGATTGGCTGTATAATAAAGTCTATCTTTGAGATTATTCATGTTCATTTAGATAATACTTTCAGGAGAAAAATAATATTCTAATAAAAATAAGCTCTGACATAAGTAATACAATTTTTGATAATACGATTATGGAAAATATATTAAAATACTTGCAGAATTAAATATTTTCCTAATCATTTTCTTACATAAAGAATATTAAAGTACACCTTTACTCCCAATTAAATGGACCTTTTTCTCAAGTAGGTAAATATATCTTTTTAATGAGAAGTAACTTCCTAGGTGAATTCTGATTGTAATTATACCTTGTGGTAATCATCAAGATTATAACAATTCGACATTGGTTTTTAAACAACTGTTAGTAATATTAATGCTTTGTCTATTGTTTTATGTATTTTACTTACCAACGGCACTTTGCTTTCCCATATGAGAAAGAAAATCTTTTCCTTAAAAAAATTCACAGAACATACCATATTATTATAATTCAGAAATAATCATACTGACAAATATAACCATTTGAAGTGCTATGAAAACTATAAAACAAATATCTAATGACAGCTCTTAGAAAAATAAAATCTCTTAGAAAAATATAATCTCTCAAAAGGTATCTGTTCCCTGGAAAGGACCAAAATATACAATTCTTCCTTCAAAAAATGTATCTCTTGCTATAAAATACTTAGAAAACCATCAGACTTTAGCAATAACTCAAGAGGCCCCTTGGGCCCAACAATACTGACAATCTGTGTTTATTTTATCAGATCCTTCATAACATATTTATTCTTAAGTCCTCAAGTTATTATAGTAATAAGAACATCTTAAAGCAGCATCAACAGGTCTCCGTATATTATCCCAATGTGAGGAGTGGTGTTATTGTGGTGTTATTGTGGGCTTGTCTGAGGATGTTTAGAATTGGAGCTAAAAACTCTTCTCTAAAGGTAAGGAATCAAACACAGATGTACACCTAGCAGCAATCTAGTTCAGACAGTCCCAATGACTGGCAAACGAAGTCACCTTGTACCAAGAGATGACCTGTTCTATTCCAGGCTGGAGCAAGTCGAGCAGTGAGTGAATATGAAAGGCAGTTTTGAAGAATGACAGGAATTACTCTTTGTGGAGCCTCCATCTAAAACATTAGAGAAAAGATGGGCAAATTAAGAGAAATTGCTACGTATCGAGAAACTCGGATACTATCTATAGTCTCAGATCAACATCCAACAAACTACACAATTCTAGATAAAAATTGCTGTTGTTCTTGTAACTAGTACTTATAACTTAGTTATAAGGCCAAAGAACTGAAAGAGATGCTCATCTGAAGCCACCACTGCGGCAGTGCTGAGTGCCAACATTTCCTGCTTACGCTTATGCCTAGACTGTACTTCGTCCGTACCCACGTACCCTGCTCCACACACAGGAACACAGCAAAGAACGATATTATGGTTTGTTCATTTGTTCCCTGTAGTTTAATGTTAGAGATGGCTAAGTACAAAAATCACACATGCAACCAAATACATATCTAAGTATACAGAGTTAGTCTTTAATATTAAGGTTTTCACTGCTGACTCCAAAGTAGTTGGAATTGGATTTATTTCTCCCACTTGAAATTGCTTAAAAAACTGGGCAAATTACTTGAAACAACGGTTCATGAAATGATGGACACTATGGAATGAGGAAGAGTTAATCTTTATAGAGCAAAGGCCAACAAGATGAACCCCGGGAAATCACAGAGCCCATCCTGTTGGCTTTTCCTTTATGGAGGATAAGTTCCCCGTTTGTTGTATAGAGGGTTCCAGGCTGTGGTAATGCAATCTAGAGAAGGCACACACACGTGAGGAAACTGGTGAGGGTCAGAATGTTTGTGTGCTACAGAAGCGTCCAATACAATCCAGAAAAGTCTGTAAGAAAGACCAACAGAACTAATTGCTGGGATTTCCACAATTACAGGCAGAGATATTGATATCCTGATCTAATAACTTGCACAGGCAAATGAAGGAACATTGACTACATCTATAGTATTTTATACTCTGAACCCTAAAAACACCCCAATAATTATTTTTAAATTAGAGGTTTAGAACATCTTTCTAAATAATAATTGAATGGGGAAGTAGTAGCAGATAGATTCCTGGGATCCCTCGCTTGGAAACCACACAGCCTATTTGTAGCAGATGTTAGGAAGCATTTGTAACTAGAAAGTTAGAGACAACTGCTTAAAGAACATGTATAACACGGAATATACCTGTACTAAAAAGGAATGGCATTCTCAACCAGTCATCATTTTAAGAAACTAGAAGAAGGAGGATAAAACAAAACCAAATCAGGTAGAGGAGAATGCTATGGGCCAAGATGGTGGGGGAAATCAATAAAATAAAAAGTGGTAAAACAATAGAGAAAAATCAATGAAACCAAATCCCTCCTCTTAACCCTACCACTGATTGTCAACTCTCTATCCAGGAGACAAGAAAATCAAAAGACCACAGAAACCAGAAAGGAGGCACTGCCTCAGATTTACTACAAAGGGAATAAGAGAGCACCAAAGCAACTTCATCAAAACAAATGTGAGCGTTTAAATGCAAAGGCCAAAATCCTTGAAGTTACAGCTTCACTGCCTGTTAAAGTAAAACTATAGCTACCCATTTTCAAAATCTAAGTTTCAGATAGCCCTACGGGTGAGTTTTGTAAATCTTTTAGGGAAGAAATAACAAAATCAGACACGACTTCTTCCAAAAACTTTTTTTTTTTTTTTTTTTGTTTTTGTTTTTGTTTTTTTGAGACAGGGTTTCCCAGAGTAGCTTTGGAGTCTGTCCTGGATCTTGTCGACTACAGTTGTAGATCTGCCTTTGATCCTAGCTTGGGAGGCAGCACTTTTTTGTTTGCTTGTTTTTTGTTTGCTTGTTTTTTAGGGAGGGGATATTATTCTCTGCTGGGATTAAAGGTGTGGGCCACCACCACCTGGCTTCTGATGGCAGGGATCTTCACTGGTCCATAGTTATGATGGTTGATCTTAATTGTCAAACTGATTGACTTGGAGTGCCAAAAGGATGAGTAAAACACTTCTGGGGGTGTCTGGGGATTTCCAGATTAAGGGGTAAGACCTCTTTTTCTGTGTGTCCTTAAATAATTGTTTGGAAATATCTTGAGGTCTTTTCCCCATGTAAAACAAAAACTTGTGAGAAAGATACTCCAAATTTTGTTTGTTAGGTTTTTGTTATTTATTTATTTTAGGCAACTCTACACAAACTAGGATCATTAGGAAAGAGGCAACCTCAACTGAGAAAATGCCTCCATCAGACTGTCCTCTAGGCTAGTCTGTAAGTTTTTAAAAATTAGTGATTGATGTGGGAGGGCCCAGCAGAGTATGGGTGCTGCCACCACTGGGCAGGCAGTCCTCTGTTATGTAAAAATGCAAGCTGAATGAGCCCTGTTGCAGGCCTGTATGCAGAACTCCTCCATGGTCCTGGTCTGTGCTTCAGTTCCTGCCTCAAATGCCTACCCTGGCTTCCTGTGGTGATGCACTGTGATATGGAAGTATAAACCACATAAACACTTTTCTCTCCCGAGATGCTTTTTTGTGATGGTGTTTTATCACAGCAGCAGAAAGAATAGTAGGACCCTGGTAAAATAAGTAGAATCTACAACCAATGGAACATCTGTATTATTATTTTAAGCACATACCTTAGCTCCATATTTCTCAATATAGGCATTAAGTCTCCCAGATTGAAAAAATGGTATCTGTAACAGAAAGTCCACATTTGTAAAAAGGACTTAACATAGGTACATAACAACACATTGTTATATATTAACATTTTAAGCAACATACAACAGAGGGCACAGGTTTTGGCTATCATTCTATATTGTCAAGGTGAAGTTGCCTGATATTGACACGACCTCCAAGCCATATAAAAGCAGAGGCAAATAAATTGCATATAAGAACTTGACATCTTTTAAATGTATAAGACATACTTAGACATGAATATGGAAAATGGACCTAAATAGAAGTTTAAATTCAAAAGGCTTCAACCTACTAATGAAAGAAATGTAAGTATTAGCAGACTAGTAGGTATTATTTTGCTAAACGGGCATGGTATCAAATAAACATAAAAATTATATATCTATGCCAATAGATTATGCAGCAGAGAAGCTTCTTATGCAGTAGATGGCCATTAGCACAGAGACTCGCAGCTAGTCTGTGTGTGGAGAATGAATGGCTATGAGCTGCTTAGCCATAAATGGAAAACCATTATCATACTCCCTACCTCCCAGGCTCATGGGACATCATGGAGGAAGGGACAGACAGAAAGACTGTAAGAGTCAAAGGTCAGGGAGGACTGCTGTGTAATAGTTTCTTCTGGATATAACAGGGCCATTCACCACAGTGCTGGTGGCCCGCACAAACCAAGACAACCAACATTCAGGCATGGATGAGGGAGGGACATTCAGCACCCCACACTTAGCCAAAACACTATTGAGGGTTGATGGTGCTGGAGGTGGGGTGGTGGGGGGATGGGGGTGGTGGTGACAGGTTTTCTTCTTCAGGGGCATGGTCCCTGTTAGGATGACCACTGTAGGAGAGATGGCCCTACTACCATGCTGTAACGAGAGCCAGTGGATTATTTTTTAAGAAAGAGGATATGAAGTTGGGAGAAGGAAGGGGGTGTATATGGAAGGATTTGGAGGGGGAAACTAGAGAATGAGATTCAAATAAATTGTACGCATTTATGAAATTCTCAAAGAATAAAAATGTTGACTCACTGAGATGAGAAACTTAAGTATACTCAAAATATTGAAAAAAGGCATTGAAGCCCCATGCTATCTTATACACTATACCATAACATTATTCCAGCATTTACATCAGATAAAGCTAAATATTAATTTAGAATCACAAGGTAGGTTTAAACGCCAGGCATATCAAAGTTAATGGGGCATTCACTCAAACTGAAGTATGGGGTCGTTAGTCCTCATAAACCATCTTTAATTTCTGCTACCATCCTTGCATTATTGTTTATCAATATTGCTCCCAATAATCATAATACCAACCGACATCACTACCCAAATTTGGTTTAATATTCCAGGCACAGGCGCTGTAAGAATATCTTCATGCACAAGCAGCAACTGCCTGTGGAGAAGAAGAAATACATCATTTTCAAGCTGAACTTGTCTACATCCATATTTGTATGTAACTGAAAAACTTAGAAGTGTAGCATAACGTCTCACTTTTCTGCCTATTTATTTAGTTATTTTTCAAAGGGGTCAGAGGTAATTTGTAATACGCATAACTAAATTACACCCAATCAGCAAGGGTGCACATTTCCTGATGCACTTGGGGATTTAAGATGGGGTACACTCCCAGGCTGTTCTCCTCATTCCTGCCTTTAGCATTTGGTTGTTTTGCAACCATCTTGCTATGTAGTTCAGGAAGCCTCTAATTTGAGGTCCTTGTTCCTCAGCCTCCAGACTGCTGGCATCACAGGTATTTGCTGTTACATCCAGCTTACTCCTAGAAATCTTGCAGGTTTTATTCTTCTCCAAGTAGTTATTTAAATGTATAATTTTGTCCTTCTATGGGTACCTTAAACAATTAAAGGGACTAAGTCAAGTGATTTTGATGGGAGGTGTCATTCTGTAAATATGTTTCTCTTATTGGTTAATGAATAAAGCCTTGTTGGCCAATAGGAGAACAAGATAGGTGGCAGGAATGAAACAAGGAGGATTCAGGGAGAGGTGGGAAGAGATTCTAGATGTAGAGACTTGAGAGAGCAGCAGTCCAGACCCTCTCTCCTCTCTGGTAAGCCAAGATCACGTGGGTTAATATTTAAGACAGAGCTAGCCAATAAGAAACACTAGTAACAAGCCAACAGCTTTATATCAAATACAGCATCTCTGTGTATTATCTGGGGCTGACACAGCTCTGGGACCAGGCTGGCAGGAAAGCTGCTCGTAACATGATTCCTTAATAATCAGGCTTCGGTTACTCTTTTCCTTAAAGATCATCTTGGATCAGGAATTGCAAGATAAATTCTTAGAGAAACATTCTCCATTGTTGTGTTTTGATGCGAAAGTTTAGAAATTACATTAATCTTTTGGTATCTTTAAGTGCCTTGTCAATAGTATATAGTAAAATGCATTTTTGGAGAGCTTGATTTATTTCATGAATTAAGTCTTATAGAGGATTAAAACTTATTTTTATTTTATGTGCACTGGTGTTTTGCCTGCAAGTATATCTGTGTGATGGTATCAGTTCCTGGACCTGGAGTTACAGACAGTTGTGAGCTTCGTGTGAGTACTGGGAATTGAACCCTGGTCCTCTGGAAGAGCATCCAGTGCTTTCAACCACTGAGCTGTCTCTCCAGCCCTGAAAAGTCAAAACTCTTAAAGCACACAAGAGGTCACAAATACAAAAGCTGGATAGTGAAATATTTACCTCAAGTATTTCAGGCCCCCTTTTAAATGTAATCTAGCATACGCGGGTTGTTTGCTTTCACAACACACATACAGATTTAGTAAACGTCCTAAGGAAAATCCTTCTACAATAGCTGTGATGGTTTCTTTAAAGTTTAAAAGCTTAGTTAGAAGACACATGTTTTCACCTGCACATCTTTATCTGCGTGCTCCTAATCTCTGTTTCTGCCACCTTGCTGCTCAGTATGATCCGGGCGGCACAGAGTCTGTGTTTATCTGGAAGAATGATAAAGAACAGGGATGGCTGCCTGGAATCATTCATGTTTTCCTGTTGGCTATGTGTTTCCGCAATCAGACCTTCAAGAAGAAGCAGCTGTAAAAAGCATGTAACATAGTTTTAGCCATGAGGTTTCAAGGCCAGCTCAGCAGATTCTATTCAATGTCATGTTAGAATAAGCGAACTTTAGCCACAAAAACCATTTCAGCTCCACGGTTTCTAACTCACTTGTATCTAGACAAGTTTTATGAAGGGACTGTTCTACGACTATCCAGTTAGAATTTAGTTCAGTGCTTTTTAAACTTATATTCATAGTTATTCACCTTTTAATAGAATAAATTAGATCACTCTCGTCACCTCTCCCAACATTCAAATCTTCAGTTTTACAACACAAATTGAATGGCTAACTTAAGTACAAATAATAATAATAATAATAATAATAATAATAATGATAATAATAATAATAGTAAGCCTAATTTATTAAATGCCAAAATCTGTTCTAGGTACTTGCTACACAGCTGCCATATTGTGTTTAGCAATTTCATTCTACAGATCCTGGCTATCCTTAAATGTTTGTTTTCAGAAAAACGAAATCTTTCCTCTCACATAATTTAAAAATAAAAACCGTGTAGCCAAGACCTTTGCTGTTTCATATTCTCTCTATACGCCACTTCAGGGTTAAAGATACATTATTTTATTATTATTATTATTTATCTTACATGAAAGAAAATCTGTAACTGTTATAACTGTTAAGTAGATTTCATTTTCAATAAATTATTTGGCTTTAAAACTTCTACTTGGGGGCACATTTTAAAATTGCTAATTCACAGGCAGCGTTCGAAGTGCATATCGAGTATTACAGAAAAGCTGGAATTAAATGCAGAGCAGGCTAGGCAAGGTCAAGTACTCTAAGGTGCACAAACGCGCCAGCGGGAGGGGACCGTTAACTTTAACACACACCTATCTTCTCTGGTTGGACAGAAACCACCAGGCCGGGAATCTGGCGCGGGCAGACTTCAGTCTGGTCACAGTAGCATGTGTCTGGCTGTGGTTTGAGGAGTGCTGGCCGTGCACGGCCTTTGGCTTGAACAGAGCTAGCTTCCCTTGAACGACCGCGTTTGAAACTTTCTTCTGGAACGTCTCTGAGCTGCATTCACCCACACGAGCTTGCAATAACATGGCCCCTTCCGTCTGCAGGCTCCACGTCCTCCTCCTCAGTGACATCCCCCAAGTCTTTCCAAGCAAATGTTACAAGGTCATCCCAGAAGCTTCTAGAGCTTCAACACCGAGATGGCGTGGATTCCATTCTCGTTATTTATTTATTTGTAAGGGAATCATAACCTTTCCCTGGCCCTGAAGCCACCCCAAAGCCAGAGCGCGCTGTCTGTCACCCCCGCGGGGTCCCTGGGGGGGGGCGGACACCAGGCCTGGCTCTAAGGACGCAGGGACGGTTCCGCCCCCGCCCTCGTCTGATGCCTCCTCCCCGTGCTCCCCCTCACCGCAGGCTGCCGGCCCCGTGCTCCCCACGGCGGCGCGGTCCTCGCAGCCCCAGGATGCTCCGCGCTCCTCCGGCCTCGAGCTCTCCGGTTCCCGGCGCGCGCGTCCGCTCGCACCACGCGCTCCAACGCCCAGCAGGCCTTGCGCGCACACGCTCCGGGCGTCCTCTCTCCCAGCAGGCCCCGCGCGCTCTGCTCCAGGGGAGTCCCATGGTCCCTTGCGCTCTGCTCCCAGGTCAGTCAGGGCTGGTGCTCCCAGGTCAGTCAGGGCTGGTGCTCCGGGGTCAGGGCTGGTGCTCCCGGTCAGGGCTGGTGCTCCGGGTCAGGGCTGGTGCTCCCAGGTCAGTCAGGGCTGGTGCTCCGGGGTCAGGGCTGGTGCTCCCAGGTCAGTCAGGGCTGGTGCTCCGGGGTCAGGGCTGGTGCTCCCAGGTCAGTCAGGGCTGGTGCTCCCGGGTCAGGGCTGGTGCTCCCGGGTCAGGGCTGGTGCTCCCGGTCAGGGCTGGTGCTCCCGGTCAGGGCTGGTGCTCTGGGGTCAGGGCTGGTGCTCCGGGTCAGGGCTGGTGCTCCCAGGTCAGTCAGGGCTGGTGCTCCCGGTCAGGGCTGGTGCTCCGGGGTCAGTCAGGGCTGGTGCTCCCGGGTCAGAGCTGGTGCTCCCAGGTCAGTCAGGGCTGGTGCTCCCGGTCAGGGCTGGTGCTCCCGGGCGGCCCCCCCCGGCGGGCTGGTCCGGGTCAGGGCTGGTGCTCCCGGTCAGGGCTGGTGCTCCCGGGTCAGGGCTGGTGCTCCAGGATCAGGGCTGATGCTCCCGGGTCAGTCAGGGCTGGTGCTCCCGGTCAGGGCTGGTGCTCCCGGGTCAGTCAGGGCTGGTGCTCCCGGTCAGGGCTGGTGCTCCGGGGTCAGGGCTGGTGCTCTGGGGTCAGTCAGGGCTGGTGCTCCGGGGTCAGGGCTGGTGCTCCGGGTCAGGGCTGGTGCTCCCGGGTCAGGGCTGGTGCTCCCGGGTCAGGGCTGGTGCTCCCGGTCAGGGCTGGTGCTCCCGGGTCAGGGCTGGTGCTCCAGGGTCAGTCAGGGCTGGTGCTCCGGGGTCAGGGCTGGTGCTCCCGGTAGGCGTCATCACCACAAAGGCGTCTTCTGGGAGAAAGTCTCCTGTAACCCAGCAGCCGACCTTCCACTCCCTCAGCCAACTGTGTGGCCTCACTAGGTTGGACTATACCCTCAACTGTGAGTCAGAAAACCCTGCCCTTCTTAAACATGGTGCTAGGCAATGTGATACGGGATTAATAAAAAAAGAAAAGAAAAGAAAAGAAAAGAAAGGCATAGGTCGTTGTCAGATGATATAATGGCCTACAAGAAAATCTCAACACATATGAAAAGAAGCTGAGTTCTTCAAAGTACAGATTCAAGAAAAGTATAAAAATTATATATTACAACAAATGTGGGGTACATACAAGAAAATTCAATACCGTTTATAATTACTAAAAAATGAACATTTAAGACTGGCAAGATGACATGGCGGCAAATGCGCTTGTCCAGCGAGGCCACTGACATGAGCTCAATGCTTAGAACCCACTTAAAGGTGGAAAGCGGGAAGCAAAATTGTCCTCTGACCTTCACACACATGTCATTGGCATGTGCACCTCTCAACACACCACACACACTAATAATAAGGACTACTTAAAACGTATGCAAAAGCAATAGTTAGATGTCTAACCAATCAAGCATATAGGACTTGTATGCTGAAGTTAAATTTCCTGATGTAAAATATCTAAGAAAAAGTCTCTGTATTCATATATTAGAAGGGGCAACAGTAAGCAATTTTTTCCTAACATACAGTGTTAATGAAAAAACGTGTGTATTGATGTGTATATGTGTGCACCTGTTTGGGTGGATGTGTGCCACATGCATGAAAGCTCTGAGGCCACTGGGACTGGAGTTATAGGCAGTTATGAACCAATCCCCAGGTCCTCTGCAAGAGCGGCCCTTGCTCTCGGCTGTCTCTCCCATCTCTTAAGGAAATTCCTACTAAAATCTCAGCAGTACATGTGTAGGCACTGTGGTGGTCTGAAAGAGAAATGGTGCCCGTAGTCTCGGGCATTCGGACACTTGGCCTCCCCTGGTGGTATTTGTGCAAGAAGCTTGTGGGGGCGTGGTCTTGGGGCGTGGTCTTGTTGGAGGAAGCATGTCACTGGAGGCATCTTCCAGATGGCATCTTCAGTTCTTTCCCAGCTTTATGCTTGCTGGTCTTAGTCACTGTCCGTTGCTGCGAAGAGACACCATGAATACTGTAAATCTTATAAAGGAAATCTTTTTACTGGGGCTTGCTTACCCTTTCAGAGATTTAGTCCATAACCAGCATGACAGAGAGCATGGCAACGTACCGGCAGATACCGTGGTGCTCTAGACCTAGCTGAGAGCTCTACATCTGGGTCTGCAGGCAGCAGGAAGAGAGAGCCCCTGGGCCTGGCTCAGGGTTTTGACACCTGAAGGCCTACCTTCAACAAGGCTACACTTCCTGATCCTTCTCAGGGGTTGCTGCTCCCTGACGGCTAAGCATCCCCATATGTGCGTCCTTTCTTATTTAACCCACACAGTGCTTTTGGTTCAAGAGGTCTGCTCTCAGCTTCTTGAGAGAGTCTGGTGACAGAGCAGACTCACCCTCTGGAACCCTAAGCCCGAATCAACTCCTTCTTTCTTGTTTCTTTGGTCCATGGCATTTTATCACAGCAACAGAAAAGTAACTAATGCATACATAGGCATCACTGTAATGTGTAAAAGCAAGGCAAAGGAATGAGATGATCTGAAACAGCTTTAGAGAAAATAAAAAAAAAAAAGCAGGAGGACTCATTTCAGGAATTATTCCACAGTTCCTTTGTCAAGGCCGAATGGTATTGGATGAGGAAGCATAGACTTATGGATCAATGGAACAGAACATAAAATTCAGAATACAACCAATGTTTGATAAATAAACCAAAAGAATTTAGTAGAGACAGGCTATTGGAGAACTTAGGGACTTGTCCCCAGCTATGTGGTCCTGGTATAGTGGTTACTTCAAGCTGAAACCTTTTCTTTCTGACCCCACAGTAAAAATAACCCTTATCACCAAAGACTGATGAGGGCAGCCATAACCCTACACAGATAAGTTCTTTACCAGACCCTTGTCGTCACTAGTGTTTACTGTCCCAACTGTCTCCTAATTGCTTCCCTTGGTTTTACCACCAAGTTCAGAGGTCCATTTGCTCTGCCATTTCTTCATGAGCTTGTTGTTCTTTTTTCTAAAACACATAAAAATGCCACGCTTTGCTTGTATTTTTCACTTTGGTACCTCGTGCAGGGCTCCATGTGCACATAAAATTAGCAATAACCACGCCTTCTCTGGCCAATCAGCTCCCCGTGTTTGTTTGATTGCTAGGTACAGCTAAACAACCCATCCAGGGATTCCTGCAGGGTGTGTGCAGGGGATTTCTTACTCCTGTCCTTTCCAGTCTGCTCAGCAAATAATGCTCGAGCAGTTTGGTACAAGAAAAAGGAACTCCAGTGTCTCCTTTACTTCACACGAAGAATAGGGAGCTTGGAATGTATTGTGCCTGGGACGTAGTGGGGTGTCCTGTAGTCCAAGCTACTCAAGACTCAGAGACGGGAAGACTTCTTGAGAGAGGAATTTGAGGCCAGCATAGGCTGCAGGGTTAGTTCCCAGCCACACTGGACCACACAATAAGGCACAGCATTAGAAAACACCGAAGACAAACACAAAGAACCAAATATAAGTGGGAAGTTTTCAAAATAAAAACACTTGGTTTTGAAAAAGACAAATATGGCCAGAGGAAAAGCTACAAATGGGTAAAACGGTTAAACAAATCATACTTCTGACCGGACTCGTCTCATACATGTGAGAGCCAGAGTTACATTTTAAGTTTAATCACTATGCCTAATGGATCCACGAAACAAAAATGCCCAAGGACAGATCGTTCCTGAAATGCTGGAGGCTATTATTTATGGAAGATAACAAGCCATATGTTTTTAACTCCCCTAAACAAGTTTGTTTGATTCAGCTGCACTGGATGTGGTCAGGAGGTTCATGGGCAGGAAATATGTGAGGATGTATGTTTGCCCCTCATTGAGAAGACAATGAAATATGGGTTTTCCTTTTTAAGCTGATACAAACTGTGATTCTTGCCCATTTCCAAGGAACCTGGAATGGGCCTGGCCAGAGCCCATCCACCTGGCCAGTATTTAATTAAAGCTTGCTTCAAATTTGGCTTTAAACTATGGTAATGATCTTATTCTCCATCGATGAGATTAACATACTCCCATAAAATTCTTTTTTTATAAAACAAAATGCTCTCAAAACACAATATTACAAAAGCAAAGAAAGATGGAGTCCAAATGGTAAATAAGTGCATGGAAAGATGGCTAATAAGTTCACAGAAAGATTGCTATTAAAGTCAGCACAATAAAGAACAACACAGTGAAAACTGGTGAGGACATTGAAGCTGGGTCCCTCGGGATTGCTGTGGGAATGTGAGGTGGACAGTGACTTAGTAGTTTCTGACAAACTGACAATACAGTTGCTTGTATTTCTCAGCAGCCACACTCCTTGGCATTTATACTAAAAAAAAAAAAATAAAAAGTTGTATTCACACAAAACGTGTGTATGATTGCTCATAGCAACTTTTCCGTAGTTAACCAAAAGCTGAAAATCACCAAAATGTCCCCTAAGCAGCGAATTTCTTTTTTTTTATTTAATTTTATATAACAAAGTCCAATTAAATGAAAACAAACATTTATACACAATATTTAGGAATTTGGGCGTCGTTCTTTCCAAACTACTTCCTGCTGGTAAGGGGCGCTGTCTTGGGGGATTCGAAGAAGATTCAGATATCCTAGCTGTAGTCTGTAGGGCTGTTTTGTCCAGCTGTTTGGAATGTAGGATCAGCTTGTACTCTGTTTCAGGCGGTCTGGCGTGATCAAACCACATTAGTCTGCAAGGAATCCACATCTTTTCATTTTCTGTGGAAACAAAAATAGAAATCCTTTTCCCCAGTAACTTGTTCTTCAACTTAATTTTGGAGTCAAAGCATTTTTTTTTAATTTAATTTATTATTTTACATGTCGATCCCAGTTCCCTCTCCCTCCCTCCCTCCCCCCAGCCCTCCCTCCCTCCTTCCCTCCCTTTTGCCCTCTCTACCCTCTCCCATGCACTCTAAACACCCTCCCCTCCCAACCCCCCACCACAATACCATATGTAGGGGAATGCCATCCAGTTGGGGTCATGTAGATCTGACAGGTCCTGTGGAGTAGGGACTAGGGCTTCTCTCCTATCTCTAGAATAAGGCAGTTATCCCTCCATGGGGGATATGTTTAAGCAGCGAATTTCTAAACAAGGTGTTGTAACAGAATAGGTCCACTGTAAGGACTCAGGCATTGTGCTGGCCTGCCCCTGTCACCTGGCAGAATACACTCAGGCAGTGCCCTGGTCAGCCCAGGTGCAAAGGACCCCTTTAAAAGAAAGACTTCTGATCACTTTAAGCTTCTCTTTCCCGCTGTTCCACGGTGGCAGACAGGACTAGTCCTGCTACCTCTTCTCTTCGATCCTCCCTCTGTTTCTGTTTCTTTACCTCTGTTCTCTTTCCTTCCCCCCCTCTCCCCTTTCTAATAAGACTTCTCACTTAAGCTCTGTCTGCCTGACATGTTTGTCCTTCTGCCTCCCCTGCTGTGGAGTCCGCCAGGGTCCCTTGCGTGCTTTGTTATAACACCCATACCATGATGTACCTACTGGAGCTATTAGGGTCAGAGCCTGGCGCCTGGCAGCCCACACAAGCCAGGCTCAGCCACCAATCCCCAGCAGGACAACTAAAGGAATAATAGTGAACAGAGAGGAAGTGGGTTTATTCAGGGCGGTCACATCTTGAAAGAGACAAATAAAGAGATGCCATGGCCCCCTTCACCCTGCAGCAGCAGCTCATCTTTGTCTCACATGGAGTTTAGGTTTAAGTAGCAGGCCAGAGTTACGCATAAATAAGCAGTTTTAGCTAAGCCTCAGCGATGACCTGTCTTTGTCTCCGCTCTAGTCTCTTCTGGTTTTGACAACTTGTTAGAAGTGTGAGGAATCTCCTTCCCAGGAGGGAGACAAGGTCCTTTCCTGGGTGACACGGGAGTTGAGTGTTTTCCTTCTCTCCTTGTGGGATTCCTATGGAAAAGCCAGTTTTGAGGGGCGGTGTCTCAGCAATCTGATAGCTAAGGGGAAGGGATAAAAGAGCCTCTCCCAGACGCTTAAGCCTTTTCTTAAGGACAGCAAAATGAATCGATACAGTTCAGGGGCAAGAAAACAAGCGAAAAAGCCAATCTCAAATGTGTTATATCATTCCATTCATATAGCAACTTGTCAAGTCAAAATAATTCAGGAATGAGGCAGATTCCCCATTACCAGGAGTTAGACACGGTAAGCATTCGAGTGTAATTCCAGAACACAGCAGCAGCTAGAGTTTGTGACAGGGACCTTATGTTTGGCGGTCACATGCACATACACCAATCCTAAAAGTAGAGGGAAATGCAGTGTATTGATGTGGATTTCTTTTGCTCCTTCTTTTATAACAAGGCCTTGTTATGTGGCTAATGTAGCCCAATCTGGCTCCAAACTCTTCATCCTCCTGTTTTCACTTTTCTGGGGCTGGTTCTAGCATGTGCTGCCTTGTTTCGGTGTTGTATAGTTACATTAATATGTAGCCACTGGCGGAAATGGGTGAGAGATGCGGAGAGCCTATCTGTTAATACTCCCTGTCAAAAGGGCAGGGGAGTGCCAGGCTGGGGTGGGGAGTGTGGCGCTCAGACTTCTGATCTTGTATCACCAGCGCTCAGGGAGTGACCCCACCCGCTGCCTCACGCGCAGACTCAGAAAAGCCTCTCCCCCACCCTGCCCGCAGGCAGCGGGTGATTGTGAAGGGCACCTCTTGTAGCCAATCAACATCCGCACACTGGGCTGGGGGGCGTGATTGGACTGGAGGAGGGCGTCGACTGAGGGCGGGAACACCATACTGGCCAATCCCCGGAGGCCAGGCGGTCCCTGCCCTGTTTGAGGCGCCACCTCACAGCCCTGGGCTCTGGTCCCGGTAAGGCTGGGAATGTCCCTGACCCAGGCCGCTCAGAAGTGAGAAGCGCACCTCCTTGTGCAAGGCTGTGTCTCAGGGACAGGGAGGCTCACTGTTACGAGATGGCTGGGCAGGCAGACAAGGATGTGAAGTACTACACGCTGGAGGAGATTCAGAAGCACAAAGACAGCAAGAGCACCTGGGTGATCCTGCACCACAAGGTGTACGATCTGACCAAGTTTCTGGAAGAGGTGAGCTGGGCGTCCTCGCTCCAGTGGGGCGCGGGAAGGGTGGCCCAGGCTTTGGGTCTCCCAGGCGTGACCCGGGACCGATGGTCTGAATATGCGTTATCTGATAGTGCGCATTTGTTTGCGTACATTTAGGAGGGCCCTCCGCGTCTGCACACTTGTGCTCGCTTCTGAGCATGCTCACCTGCGTGTACACACCTGTGCCTGTGCTCCTGAGCGCCTTGGGTTTGCACACCTGGGCATGTCTCCCGGTGGTCGGGAAGCATCTTAGCAGTGTGAACGGTTTTTCCGGGCAGTTAAGGGCAGAGTACTTGCAGGCCAGAGCTGGATTCCTACGAGGTGCTCAGGAGTGTCCTGAATAAACGCTACCCACTTGCTAGGAGAGGGCATAACCGCATGAGGGTTTTAAAAGATCGCTTTTTGTGTTTCCGAATGGACTTCGGATACCGTCCGGTTGGAGACCACTGGTATAAAGAATTGTGGGGTCCGCTAGGGTCGGAAGTCCAGGAGGGGACACCCTCAGGGGCACTCTGAAGCCCACACCTTAACGTTCACAGTGTTCAGTCAGCAGACTGGATGTTAATACCCCTACTACAGTAGTGACTTGTCCAAGAGCCCCAGCCGCCCCATGGTTGGGTTGCCAGGAGACTCCCTAGCCTGTACTTTGAGCGAGGACAAGGGTAGGTAGCATGCTGCAGTCAGAACACTGGCTCTTCATCCTTAAGCCACGGGGTGGGTTAGCTTACTTTAAGAAGGCACTTCCTCTGGCAATGCTAGTCTCAAGACTAGTTTTTGGGCACAGCCCAGGGGGCATTTTGTAGTTTTAAATCTTTATTCCCTTGGGACACACTTTGGCTTTGAGGGCATTTGGAGTCACAACACAACTTTTACATCCCACTTCTCCCCGATAAGTAAGAGTGCTTATTGTTGGGGATGGTTTGCATGTGTTTTGTTTGTGGACTGGGCAAAACAGAGGCTGAGTCTTAGATCATGATTTACAACAAGAGACATTTTGTTTTGCAGAGAATGTTTAACAAACACAGGAAAACCTTGAAAGTTTAGAGTTGATGTCTTTTGGTAAGAGACTTGATTGTTAGTGATAAAATGGGGTTCCGATTTAGGTGGGAGCGGATTGCAGTGTGGACTCAAGTCTGCCTCCCTTCTGTTGAGCCTAGAGGACTTTTGCATCATAGCTTCTCAAACCGACATAGCTTCTCAAACTTTTCACATGGAACTGTTGCTTTAGCCATTTCCCATGATATATGTAATTCTGGGATTTTACGATACAATGTGTCCCTTGACTTTGTATATATAAGAAAGTGTAGTATTTGTGCAAAACAAACATTGGGGTATGTTATACTAACTATGAAGTTCTTTCAAACAAGGTCTTTAGACCTCAGTACTGCTGACCTTTTAGGTTGCCTCCCTGTCCTGCCCTCACTGGGTGTCCCACAAGGCATGTCATGCAGTTCTCTCTGATAGAGAATCGCTGGCCTAAAATACGTTGTGTATGAGTTTTAAAAGTAGATCTTTGAAGTAGGTAACAAGGAAGAGATTATTACTTTATTCTCTCGTTTAATCTCACACGGTAGGAGAGGGGCAAGAGGACTCTACAGGTTTTCTCAAGGGCCAGGAAGCAGCTGCTCAGTTGGGGAAACAAGCTGGGAAGCAAATCTTCTGTCTCCCTAAGTTATCAGCACCCCATCTTTGAGCAACATGGGGAAGCTCCCTGGGAGCCAGTCAGTTAGGGAGATGATGGAGAGAGTTGAGTTTGGGAGACACAGAATGGTTGGATCCTGTTGACTAAAGGATTAGAGGGACCAAGGGACCTACCTGCTTTTTTTTTTTTTTTTTTTTTTTTTTACCCCTGCCCTCACTATGTGTGAATGTTCTAGAACCTTGGAATGTAGCAGGAGCATTTCTCAAGACTGTCAGGTTTCTCAGTCTATCCAGATTCCACATGTGTCTCCTCCTGGCATTTTTTTTTGTAGCTTGCTTTTGCTACTCACTTGTTTTACACAGTGTCCTAAGCATTGGCTTTCCGCCCCCAGGGTAGTGTGGCCTTTGGGCTCTCTGCGCTGGTGCTGTACTGTCCCTGCGGATGACTGCCTGTGTCCGGTCAGATCACGCCTTTCACACACGTCTCGTTCAGCTTCACCTGCAAGGACATGATGCAGCTTTTCTTCTTTCTACATTCCCGCAGTTTCATTTATCTGTGTGGGCCATCACAGCCTTTGGCTTAAACCAGAAATATTTTACAAGACCCAGAATGTCTGGCCTTCTGCCCCATTTTCCCTGCCCTTCCCTCCCCTTCTTCTGTGTTTCAAGGCTCCATGAAGCACAGGAACTGAAAACTAGTCTATCCTTGCTAATTTACAAATGGGGAAAAAAAGTGGGAGGAGCATGTGTCGGCATTGAACTTTCTGTCATCTCCAGCGTCTCCTCCACAAGCTCTGGGTTCTACTGTCCATGCAGCCAGGCTTCCCGGGTTGTTTTCTCCTCCTTTAAGAGCACCTCATTTCTGTCTTTACTCTGCTGCCTGCCTTTTTCTTGCCTTAGGTCTCTCACATGTGAAGGGAGTAAAGGGAGGGCTGTGGCAGGGCCGCTTGCAGCTGACATGGGAGTTAAAGCGTTGGCCAGTGTAATGTGCGTGCCTGTAATCCCAATGCTCCAGGACCCAGGAGTCAGAGGCAGGAGGATTGTCAAGAGTTAGAAAGGCCAGCTTGGGTAACAGTGACAGTCTGTCTCCAGAAACCAAAAATAAAAAAATACCCTCCAACATTTTTAAGACACAAACCAAGGTGAACGTTTCTGCTCGTTTGTAAACTGCAGTCAGGGACAGACCTGGGCTATGATTTTCTTTTTTGCAGCGTCATGTGCAGCTTGAGTGCTTGAGTTGTGTTTTCAAGTAAACCCAGGAGGTAATCTTGAAATAGGAGAGTACTAGAAAAATTATCTTTCTAGTCAAGAACACAGATTGGAGGTTGCTTGTGCAATGGGAACTCTGTCTTCCTGAAAGAATGTTGAGGTTCAGAGGACGGGTAGAAATCCAAGAAAGAGGGTAGGCTGATTACAGGCAATCTAAACAGCAGCAGGTGTCTGATTCCTCCCCGGTGCCTGCCAACAGTGTTACAAGGCGTATTACCTATATATTTTGACCCCCCCTTTTTTTCTCTCATTCTGACCCCTAGGTTTTTAGTTTATTTTTGTGAAATTGAATCTTGTCATATCAGATCATGTTATTAACCAGGTTAATGATTATAGAAATTTGAGAGATCATTATTTGAAGTGAAAACAGTGTTTAGGGCCAAAGAACAAGTTTGTATTTCCCTTCTGTGATTGGACCAGGTTTTTAGCAGAGCTGTGGAAGGGAGGGCAGAACACATCATGTAATTAATTACCTCTCCGCTCTGTGGGCCGTGGGTGTTTGTAAACGTAGATATCCCCTGGTCCCGGTCTATAAGGCAGGTTGAACCCCCCTCCCCTCCCCACCATGGAACATTTTCTAGTCATTCCGGGATTCTGCTATTTTTAAACTGAGTCTTGAATATTCTTTGAAAGCATTCGGCCTTGCAGTAGCCGTTGGCTTCTGACTCATTTTGGCTTTTGGGGGTTTTAATGAAATTTTGTTGTCACATTTTGTGGCCTCTTCCATAGACATATAATGGAGCCCTCAGTAATGGGCGTGACTGAGGCATCCTGGGTAAAGGGGTAACAAAGTGATATCCTGCAAGCCAAAACAAAGGCACCGCATCACACTCCACACTCGAGGCACCTAAATCTCATTTTTATTGTCTTTAAGGTGAGGAGAACTTTATAGATAAGGAAATAAAACAGGTTATACAAGCCAGTGGGATAAAGCAGGACTAGGTAAGACGCTAATCGCTATTTAACTTGAATATCTGTTATTCTAGAAGACTCCCAAAGCCCTGGGAGACAACCCACAGCACCTCTCTTGCATAAGAGAATCGAAATAACTCTGGTCCTCCTCCACTCGTGGGAGCACATTAGGCGGGGGTAGCAGGCCTCGTTCTGGTCTTAGAACACTGGGAAAAATAGTATTCATGAAAAACACGTAAAGAGAGGGTGTTCAGACAATTAAAATTTTGTATTTCTTTTCTTGTTGTTATTTGTGTTTGTTTTTGTTTTTGTACTGAAGGTTGAACTTGGGGCCTTGAGCATGCCAAACAAGCCACTAACCCATGTACCCACACTCCTTGCTGTTTTATTTTACTGTCTGGCACAGGTTGGCCTTGGGCATGTGGTCCTCTGACCTCAGCCTTCTGAGTGCTGGGATTACCAGTGTATGCCACCCTACCCACTTCACGTGATTACATTTTGATTGCCGTCTTCTTGAGGCGAGGAAACGGCTTAATGGCAAAAGTATTACGTAGCATGCTCCAAGGTGTGGATTTGATCCCCAGCACTTGGGGAAAAATTCCCTTATAAGTTGTCATAAATTTTTGCTGTGTGTTAGGGCCGACATTAATTCCATTCATAATTAGTGATTGTAATGTTCAAAGAAACTATTCAAAATACAGATGTCCTCCTGAAACACGAGAGAAGGGGGTCTCAGCCCCGGAGCTCCTCCCCCCTCTGGTAGCCTAACAGGAGCCCCCCGGAGCTCCTCCCCCCCTCTGGTAGCCTAACAGGAGCCCAGCCAGTGTCCTTGTTTGATTCCACAAGTGTGGGCACGCACTGCACTCGCTCGCTCGTGGGCGCTTTGTGCTGGTGGAAAGAGACTACTGTGGTCACCTGTTTCTCTCTCCACTGCCCTCTGCCCCCGGGACCCACCTTAGGATCCCTTCTGCTGTGTCTTTATTATACTGTTCCTTTATTTTAGCACACCAGCCACTCCCCTCGCGCACAGTTTGTGCTTAGTCTACCCCTGGCTACTTCCTCACGATAAAGCCCTGTGATGAAAACTTGTGTGCTTTTACATTTAATTTTGGTAAGTAAAGTATTCCTGGTGTGGTCTGGTGGCCACTCACAAGGGCTCACAT